TGTATGATTTTTGGGGTTCCTCCCTCAACGCTTAGTCGTATTATCAAGGATGCTGAGAGAGCGCTGGCTCGGGCTCTCGTCGGATTCTCGCCAGCTCGTATATCGTGGCCTTCTCTTGCTCGTCAAAGAGCATGTGCCGAGATGGTGGCCCAGCGCCAACCTTTGCTGCAGTATTGTTGGGGCTTCATCGATGGCAAGAATTTCCGTGTGGGTATCTAAATACTCGAATGTTTAAGTTAAGTCTGTTAAAACTTTATCTCTGCGCTGTCACATTCTAGGTTTTGCAGCCGTCCAACCCTGACGTTCAAAACGCGCACTACAACGGGTGGCTACACGGGGTCTTCGTGACAGGGACGCTCTGCTTTTCCGCGGACGGGCTCATTGTATGGGCGAAACACAACAACCCGGGGAGCTGGAACGACGGCGATATGAGCCTCGCGTTTCAGGAGTGTCTTGCTGACCCCCACTTCTGTCCCGACCCCCGCTATGGAGTCGTAGCGGACAGTGCTTTCCCTTGTGGAGGAAGAATGACAGGGAAAATCATTACTCCCTTAAAGGAAGGGGATCTCCAGAAGCTGCTACCATCCGTTCGTTCTGTCGCGAGAAAGTTGTCACGCGCTATAACGTTTGTACGGCAGGCGGCGGAGTGGGGTATGGGCTCCGTCGCCAAAGTGTACCATCGACTGTATTTACCTCTTCCTTCCGGAAAGGTAGAGCGCGCCGTTCGTCTAGACAATTTGTTCAGATTATCTAACTACAGAGTTCGCACCGTCGGTAAAAGTCAGATTCGTACTACACACGTCCACGGTCGAGAAGATTATCAATAACGTGTGTGAAACATGCATCGCTCGTTCGCTCATTATACGTCACAATATTTTGCACTATGCAGCTCAACACTAATGATATCATGGCCGAATGACTTCATGATAGCAGTTGCACCACTGCGTATACTTACTTGTTGATAAGCTTTGCGAGCATCATCATCATTTCGGAATGTCGCTCTCGGGCCTCAGAGCGTTCGAGCTCCATTCGCGCCTCGAATTGGCGACGGTTTTCCTCCTTCTCGGCCTTCCACTTCTCTTCTCGTGCAAGTCGATCTGCTCTCTCTTCTCGAAGGCGATCACTCTCATCCTGCCTCGCGCGCTCTCTTTCTTCCTTTTCCCTCTTTTCGACAGCGTCTCTTTGAGCTTTCTCTTCATGGCGCCGTAGCTCCGCTGTTTCGGCTTTTCGGTCGCTCTCTGCACGGTAAAATATCAAAAGGCGCGTCATGTCGTTGGTATCGGATCCGTGTGCCTCCTCTAACCCGGTAATCTGCTTTCCAAGGTTTTCGATACGCTTCGCGGTCTTTGTGCGTTTCGCTTTAGTGAAGGTCTCGAATTCAACTCGTTCACTCTGTTAGAGCGCTTACTCAGCTCTTCGATGTTGTCTCTCACAACTGTAAGATCTTGGCCTCCGAGTCGATTGCTGACACTGGAGAGACGGGGGTTGCGAGCTTTCTCGCGAGCGTCGGCTACAGCACGCCCTGGGTCACGAAACAACACTGCTCCGTCCGGAGAAGTCATAGGTGGCGTGGTAGGCGTCGGCTTCGGCGGACGACCCGCACTTCTCTGTGGGACTTCTTCAGTGACCCCTTGAGGCTGAAATGTGGTGTTTGCGTCGGGATTCGGTGACAACCCTCCATAGCTAGTTCGACAGTATTGGTCAACACCAGCGGCCGGGTTGTCTATACTCGTTTGAAAGTCACGACGTTATCGCCATCCACATCGTTGGCGCAAGGTTCTTCTTCTCTCTCTTCTTCGTCCTCGTCCGAGTCGGAGAGGCCGAGAGCCGCAGCAAGGAAAGCATCAAACGTTCCGGAACTAGTTATAGCAATGCCAGAGTACTGTGCTTCCGGAATCGGAGACTGAGATTGTTTGGAACATTTGGCAAGCTGCGAGACAACATTCTTCTCCTTACTGGCTGGAGAGCTGCCGACAGGATCGCGTTCTTGTGAGACAGACGTGTGTCCCTCGCGGCACCCGTTAGCTACAGGCAAGTGAGGCAATGGGGCCCCGCCGCTAGACGCAGGTCGATTGATCTGGCTTTGATTCTCTTTCTCCTCGTCTTCTTCAGTCTCGACGCCGTCGAAGGATGTATGCGTCCCGGCTTTTTCTTCGATGGTCATCTGAATTTTTTCGGCCCACATTATTGCCTTGTGCGCAGGTTTCACCTCTCCGTTGCCCGATGGTTTTGGCTTGTTATACAGATTTTTGAATTTTCGGCGTAGAGAATCCAAGTCTCTCTCAAGTGAACTCCTGCCTCGGCGGGAGTTATACCGGATCGTCAGGCGCTCCCACTCGTTCCTTCCGGTAGGAACAATCTTCTCTGCAATTGCACACAGTAAAAGCTGCTCTCGCACGGAGTAATTCGCGTAGCCAGTTCTTCGACCTCTCTGGTCGAAAACACGATATCAATAGTGATCAGACTCACAGCGATGGGAACTGTTTTTGCATACCGTCATAATCCGTGAGTTGTTGCTTCGGCTCTTGATAGAAGATCGGGGAATGAAGAGCAAATCCTTCGAGCCGCATAATTTAACCTCGCAAGAAAAAGACACGAAGATTTAACCTCGAGAAGTCAAACGTTCGAAAAAAAGTGGGCCGTATTCACATACGAATCTTTTCAACATTTACACTTTGTCTCCAAGTTGGAGTACCTCATGACATGCGCAGCTGACTACAGATCGTGCAGGTGCTGGATATCTCTGTGCTGGCATCCGTCCCATCCGCAACGGCAAATAAACCACAACGCGTTCCCATACGCTACCGTGATTTCATCTCCTGGGAACACATCTCTGACGGTGGCGACCGCCACCGTCAAATGTCGACCCGTTTGAACCTCGTGGAAGCGAGCACAGAGATTGCAGGCGTGATTGGCCAGCCTGAAGAGACCACCCGCCTCTCTGGCGTCAATGCCGTAACGCTGTCCAGATTGAGCAGGTGTTTTCAGATGAAGCATGTAGCCGTTGTTTCGGTATCCATTTGCACACGGAGGTCCAAAAACCTCGATCTTGCCAAAATATTCCCCAATAATTGTGTCCTTTGGGATAGCGCGAGTAGCAACAAGACCGAGGCCACCTCGGAAAGAGCTTTTGCAAATGGCAATGCGCTTACTTTCTCTTAAGGCATTTCCACACATTCCCGCGTAAGAGCAATTTCCACGGTAGCAAAAGCGATTTTACTTCGCATTTTGGCAGGTCGAAACATTGCAAAGCTCCCGGCAGTGACACATCCCACCTGCTGACACGGAGGCATATTTGAAGTAGGCTGGTGTGATGTGGCCGTGGAGACGCTCCACATGTTCAGGCCAAGTTGCTGGTTCCCAACGTTTTGGCCCTTTCGAATGACCTTTGGTCTCAATGACCTCAAACCCCGGCGAGCTACATGTCGAAGAAAGAGTCGAATCCGAGTCATGCCCTGAGTGGTGCCTCGTGGACCCCGGCACCACGTCGAACGCCGAAGAAGCTCGCGAGATAGAGAAGTCGGAGTCGGCGCTTTGGTCGAGCCTTCCGTTCTTCTTTGCTTTACGCGTCGGTTGAGGACGTAGTCTGGAAGGAGACGACGATGCCTGGCCTACGGAGGACTCCTCCGAGTCAGACCCGTGGAGTCTCAGGTCTAGTGTAGAAGCCACGGAAGAGGTGTCCGACCATGCCGACACGACGTCAGAAAGAGATGTGATAGCTCGATCCATCGGCACTATACGAGACGACCCAGACACGGCGTCAGGAGCATACTGGATAGAGTCTCCATCGGAAGTATCGGGCAACGAAAACATCGTCGTCTGCATCGTACCAGTGGCGAACACACCCGGAACGTCCAGATCGTGCGGGCTCACGATGGGGTCGTTCCTCTTCGTAGGAGATGGTCTTGACCGCTTGGCGAGGTTCCTAAGTCCGCCAATACGGCCGGCGTCTCCAGGGGCGCGCTTACGTTTTCCACTTGCGCGTGTCATCACGAAGCTGGCGCCTGCATCGACGGCATGTAAGAACAAGATCCAGCAAAAGATTGTACGATAGCAATTTGAACGTGCACGCACAAAATCGATATAACGGAGAGCAAACTTCGAGCTCTCTCTCCTCCCGCCTTCCAGACAGATTCGAATATGAGAGGTAGTTTAGGCGCGGTTTTTGAGGTTCGACCCGCGCGCGGGAAGATGTCATGACGCTTGAAGATCCAATTTAAACGGGGGGGGTTGCAGCTTCAGGGGATATTGAAGCTCAGCAATACAGCTTAACATACACTTTGGGATGGGTTGCCGCTTGACCGCACACACTTAACGTCGAGTTTTTCTCGAAAAACATGAATAAACCGAATTGTTTGATCTGACCATTTTTTTGGTCAACCAAACAATTTCGGTTTAATCCGCCGTTTAATTGCACGTTTGATCTGACCTAGCCCTACGGATAAAACCTGTATAGAACGGTTTTATCACAAAGTTTTGATGACCCCTTTAATCACACTTTTATCACGGTGATGCGTTTTTATACCGGTTTATCAAAACCGTACTGCCAAAACCCTACATTAAAATTTATTCCGCTCCGAATAGAGTGAGGTTGAAGTATCTAACATATTGATTTCATTATAAACGGACGATCTTTACTAGTTTAAATGGGACAAAAAACTGATAAATTTGTCTATTTTTTAAGATACCACCACGATGGCGCGCTGCCAGCGACCCCTGCAACTCACGGCTTTCTCTCTCCAGATTCAAACGAGAGAGGGGCCCATGCGCGGCGCCGGCGTTCTGGGTGCCTTCCAAAAGTAGTCGATCAAAAATTGCGCACAAACACCGATGGACAGGATCAGAATGAAGTTGTAAGTCTTAATAACAATAGATCAATAGCTCTCAAGCGACAATTTCGCCGCTCAGATACAGCTTTCCCTTTTCTTTGTTGGACCAAGTGAATAATGTCCAGCGGTAGGTACCAATCGGTTCGTAGACACAATTGAAGTCACGTCAAGATGCTTCCTTCTGATTGCTACATCGATGCCCTCGGGCTGGAAGCGTACGACAACCAGACTGGTCAGGAGTTCGAGCTGTCCCAAGTGGTGATAGGGACACCAGCGGAAGTTTTCGACGCGTGGATTCATGACGTCTGGCTCGCTGGCGGAGACCAAGTGCACGAAGGTGCTGGCCGAGGATACGTCGGAAGTGTGCGTCGAGTGCCACTGCATGTGGAGGAGGAGATCCTGTAGGCGGGGATACCCGAAGCGTCAGTCGGGGAGCAATTAAGATCCCATCCATCTGCTACCGAGTTTGCAAACCTGGCCCATTCCCACTGCAAAGTCATCTGGCTATGGTGCGCTTTTTCCTAAGGACCTCAGGGGTGGCAGCAAGCAAAACCCCTACAACTCTCGTTGTGTGGACAGTGAAGACGGATATGTCTAGGGCGTGCACTGCACGGTGCAGTTGGCTGCATTGCGGTGGTTTAATCCGCCTGGTCCTTCGCTTAGCGCTGAGGACATTCCTACGATCGCTTGCCAAGAAGCAAGAGAGCAAACAAGTCGTACATATAGATGGTCCTTTCTATTGGCCATAATATCCAAACAGCAGATGAGTTCAACTTTTGTCAGCGACACTTGACGAGGAGAATGCGCAGCAATCACTTGGACCCGACGCGATACGTTGACGCGCAAGCCTTCGAGAAGTACCAGCACTACAAGGGCCAGGAGCTCGTGGTATCCGAATGCATCGTCGGCTCTCCCTCTGAAGTGTTTGACGCATGGTTGGAGCAAGTTTGGCTGGCGGGGGCCACGGAGCTGCACGAGGACAGCACTCACCGGCCTGTAGTGAAGCCTAGCATAGTCGTCACAGCTGAGAGCTTCATAATACACTCAGGAGCTACGTCAACAACGAAGCACTCAAGGTTAGCACATATGATAGATGATCCAGATCTACGATGGTACGTACCGCAACCATGCAACGCCGACGTCTTGACGAGCCTTATGCGGCAGGCAGCAAATTCGTAAATGAAACGATCCTTAGTGGGCGCGAATTTTCGCGCCTTTGAAGCTGTCGAAGATCTCATCTTCAATTTCAAAAATTTTGCTAGTTAGGGGAGTCGCTTAATCATATACAATACGCAAGTCACTTTTTTATCAGTTGCTAAATTAGGGTGCGTGATTAAAGAGGATAAAAGGTGATTAAACGCGAAGTTTGATGAGACGACTTTTTGGTCTCATCAAAAATTTCCGTTTTATCACTAAGTTTTTATCACCTTTTAATCCACCCTAACCCCAATGATTAAACTTTTTATACACACCCAGTGGTAAATGTCGCAAGGCGGAATGGACACGGCAGATTAACACGGCAGATAGGGCCATTAACATAAAGTCTTCTGAAGGGTATCCAGCGATGGAAGAAGTCAATCAGGAAGAAGATGCACCACCGACCCTGAAAATGAAGGCCTCCAATGCCGCCTGGCAAGTCCTTGAGCGACTCGTTCCAACAAATTCGACGCTCAGAGAGACCGAAAGACCTCCGCAGCTGGATATCGATGAGAACGAACTCAGGAACTCCTGGCGACGAGATGAACTGACGACGTATATTACAGCTCGAGTTGCGCGAGTCTATTTCGTGCCGGGTGTGGACGCTCTCTTCAAAATTATCGCTGCAAAGGTGGAGGCAATCCTGAAAGCCGAAGTCCTGATAAACGCTGTGACTGATCCAGCGGTGACTAGTAACCTCGATCAAGCGTTTTTTAGCAGCCCCTACTCAGGAGACGCCGACGTGAGATTCTTTCGCTATTTGATGCGGTGCTGTAAGCTCTACAGCGAGAATCCTGCAGCCTACACTGCCCCCTACGTGACGATCATGCAGAGCTCTGGCTTCGGAAAGAGTAGAATTCTGTACGAGGTTGCGAAAAAGATCGCTGACCCAAATACGAACCTGCCAGAAAGTGAATTATTCGATTGTCGGTTGCTGTACGTGTGCTCGAATGACGTTGAGCTGTCAACAAGCTTTCCAGTCGCCACCCCTGTACTCTCTCAGTATTTCTTTAAGCAACCAAATATTGCTGACCGACTGCACAGTGCAGTGGCGTACGCGTGCTCTAACTGGGAGGCTGCAAAGACTGAATGGATTGGGCTTTTCGGTATGAATCCTATGAACGACTCACCTGTGTCATGTGAAAGAATCGATGAGGCGTTGGGCACGGCACTGGCAACTTTTATGGCATCCGACTCCACCACCGACTCCCCAACTCGTAAGAAGTCTCGTGAGTTTTTGGAACACAAGGACGAGCGTGTGAAAGTATTAGTTTTGGCCATCGATGAGGCCAAAGCTCTACTTTTAAAGAAGGGCAAAAATGGAACCAATTTCTTACGTCTCTTACGTAGAGCACTGAAAAAGGTGAATCAAGATTTGGCTACTGCTAAACTCAAGATGATGGTGTATGCGGTTCTGACTGATACCAACTCTCACGTCTACGATTTCGTGCCCTCTCACTTGAGAGAAACATCCTCGCGAAATTACAAGGGCCAGCAGACGATGCTATTCCCACCATTCGTGCTCACTCACACGATGGATATCGTGCTCAAGCAAGGTCGATTGCAATGGGATCATCCTTTTGACTACAAGAAAAGCGTTCTCCAACGTGATCCCGATACAACTTGGAACACGCTCATTTCTATGGGTCGGCCACTGTGGCACAGCTACGTCTCAAACAACAGGGACAATCCTTGCGAAGTACTTGTCATGGCTGCTTCAAAGTTGCTCTGTGGCCTGAGTCCCTCTAACAAGGCTAGCTACGGAGGGAGTTCTCTACAGGGAGTTGCGTCGTTGCTGTGTCGGCTAGGAGCTCGCCCTCAATCAAACTCAGCTTTTGCGACACAAGTCGTGTCTGACTTCATGGCAGTGCTCCACTACGTCAACTTTACGTACGATGCACACATCAGTGGCTATGTGACGGAGCCCGTGCTGACTTTCGGGGCAACGCACCTGTGGTACGAGATTGACCCATTGCCGCTGGAGAAATACGTACTTCCCCAATTCTTGAAGCTATTGTTGCAGGGTCTAATCGACGTCGGAAGTGTGGGCGAAGTGGTGGCGCGAATTATTTTGCTGCTAGCTATGGATGCGACCAGCATGGGTGAGGACGGCGTTCGTGCCTACCGATTGTGTGGAACCGGATCTAAACATTTTAAGGGTCAATTTTGCTCGGTGAAGCAGTTTCTGGGTCAACTTGACGGTGCACGCCTCCCTGAAGTTATCGAGCTTTATAAAGAAGATGAAGATGACACCAAGAAGCTGAAAAAGGTGCCTGACACGGAGAGGGCTGACTTTTATAGCTGGCGGGACGGGTGGGCCAGCTGGAGCGTTGGTTTCAGCCACTTTATTGAGCTCACTACTGTTCCAACGAAGGCAACACTGTGGTTCTTGCTAGGCCGTCGTGCAGCCGGGGTATTTCCACGCAATCAGAAGGCGGCCGATTTGATCATCCCGATCTTCAGCTACCCATCAAACATGGACTCCGATGCTAGGATTTCCTTCATCTTAATTCAAGTTAAGAACAAGAGTGGCGCGGACAGAATGTATCCCCAATCAGCACTCAACAACCTGACTCCTGCCAATCTTTTTCAAAAGAACGAGATCAATCGGGACACACACGAGTTATCCAAGTTCCCGGCACGCGATATAATCCGAATTTTCATGAGCCTTCGGGAGAGCAATCGGGACAAACCAGCCCAGTCGTATCTTGTTGATACGGAAGGGACCCAAGGCTCGTACTCGCTGTGTCTTCGAGGTATCTGCCGGCGGCCCAGCCAGAGATCTCAACGGTCATTAGTGTTTTGGCCATTTCTGCTGTCTAACAAAGTCTCAGAGCTACTGGATAGCATTGCTGATTCATCGTGGCGTGAACCATTGGTGGAAAATCGATCCAGTCGTCTCAAAGGGGGAGTGTAGATCCCTTTAAAGCTAAAACCACCAATGTGTCGGAGCTCATTTAATAACACTCTTCCTAGTCGTAAACGCACCGGTCAAAACTACCTTTCAGACGGAAATACGTCGCTCTTAGAGCAACGGGAATAAAGGTTAATTCTGGTACAAGTCCAGCAAATTATCCTAAGATCACCTCCACCAATTTCTAGGCCACAACAGAGTGCCAGATTCCTTTTCAGTTCAAAAGCCGTAGCTAAAAGTCACCTCGTCCACCGTCGCCTGGTATCTTATGAGTACAACCTACAGCCTCCTTCAACTCTTCATCCGGTATCAGCTCTTTGAAAAAGTTTCGCCGTGCCACATCCACGTTGACCTTAGCCAACGGATCCCACCAGGCCGAATCGGCGAGACGTGCCAGCTGATCCGCAATCTTCAGTGTCAACAAGAAGGGCCAATTTCTTAAAGAAGAAACCGATCCCAGTCTGGCCGGGCAGCACATTCCCCGAAGGCACAGTGTGTACGACACGTCGTCCACACTCGTAGCACTAGCATTATCGATGAGATACGACTGGGCCGGGATGGAAATATCGCATTCCCGTAGACTCATGTAGATACGGATTGTCCTACGTGGTGAGAGCTCTGAAAACTCGTGTTTGCTCTCCTCTTCCTCGTTCACAGCGAACACGCTTGCAGGCGACAGGTTCCTTAGAGCGGACTGTGGAAACTCCCAGTCAGTAGTCTCTTCGTTCCAAACTTTGACCAGGATGAAAGAAACCTCAGCGGTATCCTTGCAAAACACCGGTATTACCAGCTGTGCCTCTTCATGATCGCGCGGAAACACGCCCGCTGCTCGACGACCTAGCAGGCACGAAAGCGTTGCTGTGGTCGGCAAGTCTTTCAGCTCGACAAAGTGGCTAAGCCCAACGCACCAGTTGTCCCAGTCGTTCATCCATAACTCAAAGCTGTCCCTTTGCTCTGGTGTTGCACCTCCCGTTGTCGCATTCTCTTCGTCGATCACATTGAAAAGCTCCCGCCGTGGCTTTGCGTTATTGTCTTTTTCGGTTGCGTCGTTGGGGACGTTATCACACTTTATACCTCTTCGCGGTTTCAACGATCCATCAAGCAGCCCCAGGAACTGCTTTACCGAGCAAAATTGACCCTTCAAACGTTTAGATCCGGTTCCACTCAACCGGTAGGCACGAAAGCCATCCTCGCCCATGCTGGTCGCATCCATAGCTAGCAGCAAAATAATTCGCGCCACCACTTCGCCGATGCTTCCGACGTCGATTAGACCCTGCATCAATAACTCCAAGAATTGAGGAAGTATGTATTCCTCCAGCGGCAATGGGTCAATCTCGTACCACAGGTGCGTTGCCCCGAAAGTCAAAACGGGCTCCGTCACGTAGCCACTGATGTGTGCATCGTACGAAAAGTTGACGTAGTGAAGCACTGCCATGAAGTCAGACACGGCCTGCGTTGCAAACGCCGAGTGAGACTGCGGGCGCAATCCAAGACGGCACATTAGTGACGCCACTCCTTGAAGAGAACTCGCTCCGTAGCTCTCGTTGTTAAAGGGGCTGAGACCACAGAGCAACTTGGAAGCAGCCAGAATGAATATGCCACGGCGGTTCCACGGCTTCGTCATGATGTAGCTGTGCCACATTGGTCGACCCATTGAGACGAGCGTGCTCCAAGTTGTGTCGAGATCAAGTTGGAGAACGCTTTTCTTGTAGTCAAAAGGATGCGATTGGCCCATGTTCAGCATCACGTCCATTGTGTGAGTCAGCACGAAAGGCGGAAACAATTTCTTGTCCTTCTTCGTGTTTGTACGATGTGTTGACGTCAGACCCGTGGAAAGTGAAGGTTCCAAATCGCAGATACGGGGATTTGTGTCGACAAACACCGCAAAGATCATCGTTTTCCTTGTCTTCCTCTGGACGTTAACGTCGACTAATGCTCTCCGCAAGAGACAAAAGTAGTTAACTCCGTTGATGTCCTCTTTTTCAAGTAAATGTCGTGCCTCATCAACTGCCAGCACCAACACCTTTATACGTTCATCTTCGTTTACTAATTCTGACGAGCCCTGCGCGTTCTCTGAAGGGATTCGCAAACTTTTTAGTAAATTTATGGTCAAACCAAAATCGATATCAGTAGGCTGAGTTTTTTCCGTGTTCGCGCCTATGATAAAAGCCGCTCCAAACAACCCAAGCCAGTCATTCTTTACCGTCTCCCAGTTCGCACACGCGTAATCCAGAGCAGCCTGTAATCGGTGACTAGAAATGTTCTTGTTCCCAAAAAAGAAGTTAGAGAGGCTTGGAGTCGCGGCTGGAAACCCAGTCGAGTATTCAACGTTGCGCGCGCACATGTAAAGCAGTCGAGTGTCAAACATATCGTTCTCTAGCTCGATAGAGCCAATATTCTTCGCTATTTGATACAGGAGTCGGCTCTTCCCAAAACCCGAGCTTTGCACTAGCGTAGCGTACGGAGCGACATAGGCGGATGGGTCCGTGTAGTAGTTCTTGCAGCATCGCATCACGTACTGGTGAAATCGAATGTCAGCGTCGCCCACGTAGGGCAAGCAAAAGGCTCGTGCAAGGTCATTCATCGCCGATGCGGATTCGAGGAATCGAAGATTTTTACCGGTATCATGCCGAAGCAACTTGCATCTCGGAACCGTCCGTACAACCGGTAATTCACCAATGCAACTTGAATCTCGGAACCGTCCGTTCAACCGGTAATTCACTCGAGAAGGAGCATACATGTAGTACAATGTATTGAAGACGTTATGCTGCAAAACGTCTTCAACTTCACCTCAGAAACGCTTTGACCAATCAGAAATTAGGACGCGGTTTTGTACGTCGCCATTTTCCATCAATTCCGACTCGTGATGAAGGCCATCGGAGCTTCGTGCAGGTGGAGCTTCGTCTCGCTAGCGCTACTGTGCAGCGTACTTGCCGCCGCAACATCGCAGAGCTCAAGCTCAAGTGGTAGCGCTAACGTTGTATTCTCGTCCGTCGGCAATGTGTCCGGGAGTCAATGGCAGACCGACGCCGAGGAAATTCGCTTCCCCACCGACTCAAGGACTGGTAGTGGCGACATTGTAGTTGGCTCTGAAGATTTGTCAAGCGAAGAAAGCGCTGAAGAGGAGATTGTTGCCTCTCCCGTGGCGACTGCTCCTCTGCTGGTGCTGAAAGAGGTGGAGACAACTTCTGCCGTACCAGCCTCAGCGAATAGCTCATCTTCTCAAGCTGTTTCTGTGTTGAGCGAAGTGGAGAATCCGCGGTCGATAAAACCGGTTGAGGAGCTACATGGTGTCCCGTCCAACCCCAGCTTTGTGAACGCTGTGGCCTTTGACGGTCGAGCTGCAGTGACGTGGAAGGCTCCGGAAGACGATGGCTTGGATCCTATTGTGGCTTACGAAGTGGGGTGGTTTGATGAGGAAGACAATGTGCTGGTTGGCACTCAGAAAGTTACTTCATCTTCAGTAAATCTTGTAAGTCATGTTGGAACGAATACAAATGCGTCGACTGCTCCAGCGGTATCGGTGCCAACATCAAGTGTCGTGGAGCCACTGGTGAACGGTCGCTCCTACGCATTCAAGGTTCGCGCTCAAAACGTAAATGGTTATTCCGTGTGGTCGGCCAAGTCTCTTGCCGTGAGCCCGCTGCATCCTCCTGATCTCTGCGAGAGACTGTCGTGTTCAGGTCATGGTACCTGCTTCCCAAACTACCATAACGAGAGACCAGTGCATTTAGAGAAGAACCGGCAAAAACGTATATTGACGGGTCCTAAAGACAGCAGCACAGCAATTGACGAGTACTCGTTAGACGCCGTGTGTATCTGCCGTCCAGGTTACAGTCCTCCTGACTGCAGTGCCAAGAGCAATGACGAGGCGGCTCAGTATGTGTGGCAAGTCACAGCATGGAGTGAGTGTGATAGTGGCTGCGGAGGCGGAAGGCGATCGCGTGAGGCAGTGTGTTATGATACTAGCACCAACCAAAAAGCACCATCGGAAGACTTCTGTACGGAGCCAAAGCCGTCGATCACAGACATTTGCAACGGTATTGAGTGCGGATCGAAGCGTGTTGTCGTGAGGTACGAGGTTGAAGTGAGCTACGATGAAGTTCTATTCTCGCCTGCAGCACGAGAAGCGTTTGAGCATGCCTTCACTACTGAGGTTGCGTCTGCGCTGCAAATTCCACACTCTCGACTAGAAATCACTGCACTCGAGCGCGGCAGCATCGTGGTGTTTTTCCAAATCCTGCCAGCGTCACGTGTCGGGGAGAAGTCACTTAACGACATTGTCGAGAACCTGCAAGACCAGCTAGGGAACGAGACGAGCACATTGCGATCCATGGGGACGTTTGCTCGACGGATTGAACTGAATGGTGCAAAACTCAGTTTTTCCATTGCCGATCAAACCGTGGCTGGCGGTGCCGAAGACATTTCTATCGCTGGACTCATTGGAACTATGCTCGTGCTGGCCTTCTTCGTATCGATGTTTGGATACTTCTTACGTCGCCGTCACTATCGACTTCTTGAAGACATCGATGAGCGAAAAGAAAACGCACACGTCGCGGATATGGACGCAAAGAGTGGCGGCATGAAGCGCATGCATATAAGGTGTACGAGTACGACATAACATGTACAAGTTTAGATCAACTGTCATCATTTTGCATGAATAGAGAGGTTTAGAACTTGTTGGATCACCTGGCAAGGTCAGACGAAATGTTTAGTCGTTTGGTTGCAGCACGAATGAACTCGTATTCATCCTGAACGTGAGTTTTACTTTCGCGAGCGTTCGACCAGTCCAACATCCTCGACGAAGTCAAATTTTCCAGACAGAAGGCGGTTTCGGTACTTCTCAAGATACTCGAGGAGGGACGGCGCGAGTGGCCGATCGCCTTTACCGTCTTCGTTGAACTCGAACACTGCATTCCTTGAACCAGTATCCGAAACAAGCGCTCCGCCATCCACGTTTACTGCGAAGGGGACTAACGAAGAATCCCAGCCCTTAATAGACGCAAGCGTCTCTGCCTTGTTGATGATATCCTAAACGCGTGTGTTAGTGAGACATCATTGACGAAGCAAAGCACGTTTGTCCGTACATCTGCGGACAGCGACTGCTCAAGCAACAAATGGAGGTCAGCACAAGCCTTTGCAAACCCAGCAACAACGCTTAAGGCCAACCTTGTAGTCGTCAAACCAGATTCCGCCGCTCTGTGTCATTAGCAAACTGCGCAACTCCTAGTCCGCGTCAATATTATCTGAGCAACCACCTTGTTTTCACCATGCTCAACTTCTCACAACGTCAAACCTCGGGGATCTCCTTGCCCAGGGTCTTCTCCAACGCCTCAATATCTATTCCAGCCGTCAAACTAAGCATATTCATAATACATTTGGTCAATTTGTTTCCTCACCAGCGTTTTTCTCCGCCGCAGACTCGAGGTTTGCTTTACGCTGGAACCAGCTCACAATATCTGTCCACAGATTCCAATCAGTCTCCGAGTACCGCCCGTTCTTCCGCAATTTCGTCACCGTGAATGCACTGGTCCCTCTCATCCACGTCCATCGCGCCTTTGCGCGGGTTGCCTTCAGCCACGACCTGTACGCCTGACATGATGCTCTCTCAATGTGACTGCGATCTTACTCCAAAAGGTTGCAATCGCTGATTGGCTACTCGAGCGATGTGCACCACCCTATTTATGTCGACCACACCACTTCCGATCGAATTCCGCATTCGGTGAAAGGAAATGGAAGTTGAGGAGATGGGAGCCGCACTGTCGGCTACAGAGGATTCTCTGTCCTCTAAGGCGAACGAGAGAGCGCTTAGGCGTATACGCGAAGTATTAGAGGAGAAGAAGCTTTGGATTTCCAAGCGAGATGAGGCTTTGAAGCGCAAGGAGAAGCTGCTGAAGCTGCTTCAGCTTCAAGAACCAAATAAATCGACTATCGAGCATATTGAGCCCGAAGAGACGAACCAGGAGGCAGAATTAGCCCGAAAGGAGGAAGTTAAAGTGGCGAATGCAGCAGCGGTGGCAGTCACGCGGAAGAAGGAGCTTAAGGAGCTGCAGGCACGAGCGGAGGCGGCTCGAGAGGTCCGTTTGAGATGATTTAGCAGGATTTTGGCTGTGATAATAAGTCTAAGCGAAGACTACCTATTGATATGACTGTAGAAGCAGCAAGCAGCAGCGTCTGTGCTTGCCAGGAGCCTGAAACATCTACGGGCGAAGCGCAAGCGAGAAGAAAAGGAAGCGGACGAACACCAGAGGAAGAAAATTAGCGTGGAAGCCAAGGATAAAGTGAACGCTGCTGTTGCCGCTCCTGAGATGCATCCCTGTAAGAGGTTGCCTCGTGCGTTAAGCTCGAATTCTGACGGATTCTTAATTTCTGTGGCTGTGCTGGTTTTATTTAGTTGCTACTGCCCCGGCGTTGGATGTGGGAACGGCGGAGCTTGCAAAATCCACGTGCTTTCGCATTGCGACGCGTTATCTCACGCAAACAGGCTTGGTTGTGATGTAATATTTGCAGACGTTGTGTTTCTTGAATGGCGACTGATAGTTTGTGTTGTGACCGAGTAGATGATATCAAGAGAACAGCTCGAGCAAGTGTTCAAGACGTATACAGGCAAAGTTCTTGAAGAAGTGGTGGAGTGGTGCTACTTGGAACATTCATTGACCGATTTGGATGCTGGTGACATTGCAAAAAATGTCTATCTGTCGAACGCAGCACGCAGATCTGTGTGCTGGCAACCAGGACGTCAATCTCTGAAGACACCAACGTTTATCTCGTCAGATGCGGGTATTACTCTGTTCGTGATCCTGATTATGTGTAAGTTTACTCTAATTGTTGTGATAACGTGCTATAGGTCGAATCCAGACGTTAATTGAACTGGAGAAGGACATCGTGGCATCTGTTTGCGACTCGTTGCGGACGCCTGATACTACAGACAACAAGAGCGCAGCATTTATGAGGAAGCGTCGACAAATACTTTTTTTGGCGAATCTGCTACCTGATGGTGCCGCAATCCCTACTCTTTCTGGTGTTTTATCCGCCTGTGTCGGGGTCAATTCAACGACAAGCAGCATTTTGAGAACTACTTACCGATCACATGGACAAATAGCTGGCGTTCTTGATAGAATGGAGGCGTGGCTTCGTGAGCAAGCGGAGATGGCCGAGCCGCAGAGCAGTTTGTCGCCAAGATTCGATGGACAGGGTCGATCTCGTGGGGTTCGTGGCGTTCGTGAGCTTTTCTTCTCGTCAAAACACGCGAAGCTGTTCTCAGTCACAAACGACTCGGTCGTAAGACAGCTGAGAGGGGGCGCGATGAAGTCTGCGGGCTCGAAGAAGATTGATTTCATGAAGTACGGATGCCTTGAGTGCTGCTGCTTACATTTGTGAGCATTCTAACGTCGCAGTTGTGATCTTTTTTTTCAGAGTGCTGTGTCACTATGAGCTCAATGGCGTTTGCAACGACAAGAACTGTTCTAATTATCACCAGAAAGATTACGAATCAGTCGTCAGCGAGAGCAGCAATCTCAGTGACTGCTCTGATGAAGATGTTGATGGTGCTGGGCTTGGCGAGACGAAGGTGGACGAGATGGATCAGTTACTGGTGTCGTTTGCTGAGTTTCGTGCACGTATTATGCTGAAGTGGCCAGTTATAACCACAGCTCAGACGTCTTCAGCAGTAAGTTCTTGCGATTTTGATGAGGTGGCTCTTTTTTGCTTATTTTGCTGATTTATTCGATTAATTGTTCTGTATGCAGACCGAAAGAAAGAATAAGGATGGAAAGGCAATCGCACCAGACGCGACTTTGCCAAGCAGAGCTGATGCAGCTTTCTCCATCGCACAAGAAATGGAGGGAAAATCGGAAGAAGACAATGGCGACTTCATCGTTCTTGATAGTCGTGAAGAGCTTCCTGACATTGGGGAAGCTCGCTACTTCGACGATATTAACTCCCGAAAGGTCTATGGCGAAAAGCTGCAAGCAAGTGTGGAGGAAAACCCTAGTGCCACTGAGGCGTGGCTTCTGCTGGCTATTCATCAGCTTGACCTCGACATTGGGTTGGGGTACGTATTCATTTTAAAATTTCGAATTCTTTACACTGATACTCACTCAGATTTTGGTTGCTGATAGGGATGAAGCTGTGAATCTATCTGATGACGATCTTCTGCAGCGACAACTTCTATTTCTATGCAAGGAGCTGAATTTGAAGCAACGCAGTGATGCCTCTCAAGCTCTGGCTGTGGACGAAGCAAACCTGAAACAGTGTCTACATACGCTGTCTCGAGCTTTAGAAGTTGAGGCAAATGCGTATTGTGAGGCACTGTGGCTTCTGTATCTTCGCCTGTGCAGACAAGTGACCAATCGGCAGACGGAAATCGACATGGTAGAGCAAGGAGTTCAGTTTCTGCCGAATTCTCACGCCTTGTGGCTTCGTTATATTTCGACTTACGAGTTTGACTCGGTGGGCATGGCGGAAGGAATCTATTGGCGGCTTCTTGAACATCTTGCGCGAACGAACTCAGCTGAAGTTGGATCTCAGACACCAAGTGCGACTAAGGAAGTGTCTATTTTATTGACAGCAATATGTTGCCATCTCTGTATTAAGCTGTGGCTTGCTGGGGCGACAAGTCGAGTGCTCGAGCTCCTGTCAGCATTGCTGCAGCTTGACAACGAATCTTCGGAGTTTGCGTGGTGCACTATGGTGCGTGCTCGATTACGTGGCGATGAGGTAGTAGTGATTTGTTTATTTTTCGCGCATATTTTGCTGTTCAAGGAGTTGCCAGCACTGATGGAGCACTGGGTGGCTGCTAGCAACAACGAATGCGTTCCGATCAAAGGATTGTCGTATACTGCCGAGTATTTACGGGGTTGCAACCGTGATTTCGAAAAGGTAGCCTTCACGCGAGCATTTGGGGTGTATGAACTCGCGTTTCAAACGCTTGGAAACGACTGCGATGAGATGTTGGATGCTGGCAATGTGATACTGGGCAACTGGATGCTTTTACTTGCATTGCAGCAAGATTTCAGCAAGAAAAATGAGCCTCTCTCGGCCTTTTTTCGGGAATACGTAGACAAGATTCCACAGTATCCTAGCGCGTCTCTCACGGCGGCAAAGTTGATGGGGTTAACGTCGACCGGTGAGAAGCAGGCGTATCAACTCATGCTCACGATGATGAACCGGAACACAAAAGCTCACTTCCCTGAAGCCTTGCATCATTATCTCTTCGCCTGTCGCCAGTCCCCAGCGCTCGTAGATGCTTTGGATAAGACCTTTCCGGACGTTATGAAGCAGCTGGCGACTCTTTTGGATGTTGATACTGCTAAAGTGGAGAAGTCGATCCAAGATATCATGCATGTAACTAGTAAAATATCTAAGTCGCGTGCTCTGAAGGATTTGTTGGACACTTTATTGGGAGCGTGGATGGATCAGCTTGCACTGCTTCGCCGGGGATCATCACAACCGCAATCGACAGACAAACAAACGAAATCTCTCGCAGACATCTACGTGGGACTGGATATCGTTCATCTGATGGGTCTCTTGCTGGAGCCATCTGTCGCTATCGATGGCATCCAAATGTTGTTGAGCTTACTGAGTTTTGGTATTTTATCCTTGGAAGCACGACAACTTGCGTGGATGCAACGCTTTGTATTTCAAGTGGATTGTCTACAACAGGAAGATTTAGACAGTGCATCATGGAGAAAGCACCAAGCGATGCTGACTCAGTTGTTCCGAAAGTATATGGCAGAAATGAGTGTCGAGACTGAGATGATGCGCCAAGTGTCGACGCGGATTAAACGTGATATCACCAATAGAGCGATTGAAGACGCTGTGCGCGATTGCCTGAGTCCGGAACGAAGTCATTTAATCACGTATGATGTACACCTTGAGCTATTCCAGCTGTGCTCTGCTGCAATTGCTGGACCAGAGAAGGCTGCGTTTTATGCGTCATGCACCGATATGCTAGCCATGTCGTCCGAGTTCTCGCTTGCCTTTTCGGGTACGAACTGAATGACTGTGTTATAGCCATTCGCCCTTTTTAGTGCTCACTTCGTGCCCGTGTACCTGCAAATATCTAGACATTGCTACCCACGAATGGGAACTGTTGGCTGCACGTGCAAGCCTGAGAAGATGTTTAAAAGGAGCGAAGACCCAGCATCCTCAAGTACTGCAAGCCTTGGTTGCGGTGGAGCTGCGATTGAGGAATATGAAGGCAGTATCGAGTCTACTTGAGGCTGAGATGCAAGCGAACCCGCTACTATTAGAGTCTTGGCGTCTTGCTGTGGGTCTGGAGATTTTGCTAGGTGAAAAGTTGAGTGACAGATCGAAGACGATCGCAGAAGAAATGGAGAGGCGGCAGTTGGTGTTCGCATGCAACACATTTGGCGATGAGAAACTGCTGGACCAGAAGAATGTATCATGGTGTCGATACCAAGACACTGCATCGTTAAGCTTGCGGGGTCTTGGCTTGGAGTACGTTCCGAACGCAGTTTTGCTCCAGAGCGAGTTGATCTCGTTGAATGTTAGTGGAAATGAGCTGATGGAGCTTCCCATGGCTCTACGTCAGCTGAAGAATCTACAAGAACTGGATGCATCTGAGAACTCATTACTCGAGCTCCCTGCGTGTGTCAACAATTTGACTAAGCTGAGAGAACTGAGACTTGCACACAACAACGTCGCCGCGATTGCAATGCCAACTTTGCCACAGCTCAACGTCCTGGATATTAGCTGGAATGCAGTAACTCACCTTCGAGCAGCAGATATAGATTCTCTTACAAAGCTCAAGATACTGCAAGCCGAGGAAAACCAGATTACATCGGACGAGCTGTCAAAAATCTCGGATTTATTGTCGCAAGCGGCCGCAAGGCAGGAGGGGAAACCGGAAGATGTTCCATCGAAGCAGCCCTCCCACTCTTTGCGCTCAGAGAGCAGTCAGGACGAGGTCACAAATGAAGCACAACACGCCAGATCCGCTGAGGCCAAACAAACTTCTTTCCCTACAGAAGATGTGAGCGCCATGGGTGTGTCTGCAGATGACGGAGATCAGGTCATGGAAGAAGAACATAGAAGCGACGCGTCTAAGTCAATTGAAGTTGAACGGGAGGAAACAGTGGCTTCGGAACAAGTCGATTCGACAGGCAGAGCCGACGATGTCGACAATGTTATCATAATCGACGACAATGATGATGCTCCATCGGAGTCTAAGGAGAACGACGATGGTGATCAAGTCATGGCCGAGCAAGACACCTTAAGAATCGACACTCCATCTACAACAGAGTCGAACGCTATGGCGCAGGGTAAAGAGGTGATCGAGATTGACAGCCCGAGATCGACTGAAGGTGAAAATGAGACTACAGCGCCTGAAGCTCGCCTCGAAGCTACGAGAAGGGAGGAATCGATTCAAACGGCAACGTCTACGGATGTTCAGTCGACATCAATTGGTGGCGGACTTGGAATGGAAGGCGTTGCTGAAGCCGAAGACTTTGCTCAAAGTCACACAGAAGTCGTCGCAGCTGCACTTGTTCGACGCCAATCTAGTCATGATGTGGCTGCAAGTGCGAGGAGAAAACTCACCGCATACATGGACCAAAATCAAATCGATAATCGTGCCGATGTGCGCAGACGCAACCCGACATTGTGGCGCGAGTTTGTGGCCGCCAGTCTTCCTGTGAATGTGGAGTCACCCGCATGTAGATTGTGCTTCGCAGCTAATGATGGCCACAACCAGCGGTTTAGTTCCACCGTGCTATGTGTACGCTGTCTGGAAGATGCTCTTCTTGTGCTGAAAGAACGGAGCGAGCCATCAGAAGCAGCGGAGGAGTTTGTCTAAAAAGAGTGCATAGGCGTTGTGAAGTGGTGATATGGACAACTGGATGTCAGCATCGCCTTCAAGCTCATGCCGGGCTAGAATTCAGACATGAAAGTAACAATGTGTTCCTGCGGTGACAGAGAGCTTCGGCTTCGGATACTCAGATCAACAAGTAATAGTTCTGACTTGTTGTGTGTTCAGCAGAGTCGTCGATGACGCGAATGACAACTGCTGACGAATGCTCCCGTGGTTACTGTGGTGATCCGCTTACTATTGCTGTTCAATTTAAGTTTAGGGAAATAAGCTGGAGTGTCCATGGATTCATCTAAGCAACGTTCGTGAATCCCCATAAGAAGCACTGCGGCACGTTGTATCGGTAACTAGAACCACTACAGTGAGCTTACCGACCGAACAAATAACGCGATTTGCAACTCGAAAAGGTCTGCGACGCAAGCTATTCGAGAGAATGCTCGCCATGAGTGCTATTTCTCAGTAGTGTCAACGGGTGGCCTTTTCCAGCAAAAAAAGGTTTCGGCGAGGATGCTGTTTTTTAGAAGGACACAAAAGAATGCACTCAGCAACTCGTAGCTATTTGCGCTTGTTTATTATTCTATGACATGGTTGTAGGCGGCTCAAAGTCGTATTTGTTATGAGGAGGGGACGGCGAGTGCGTTGACATCGTTCACTTTTTGTGTTTGCTGAACAAGCAAATGTACACGCAACTGACTCAGTTTAAATGTCAACAGCAAAGCCTCGTCAAATTCTCACCCTTGCAAGGTCGTGGATGGATCCTGCAACATCTATGCTAAAGATTGACCCATAATTTGTGGTGAACGCAAAAATGGCGCCGATAACACTGCCACATAAAATGTCACTGTAGTGGTGCCAATTGTCTCTGGATCGCGTCACGCATATCCACACCGCTAGCAGTAGCGGTAAGCAGGAGAGACACATGAACAAGGTTTTCCTGCCGGACTGCAGCTTGGAGTTGGAGTTATTGGGAGTATTTAGACGAAATCGACCAAGCAGATAAAGCTACTTATCAAGTCAAAGTTAGCTGTGGACTTTCAACACCAAAACATTAGTGATATTTTGCCTACCGTTAATGTCAACATCGTCGCCCACGCGCAGGAAGCGTGACCCGACGGGAAGCTTCTTCGACCCTCTTTGTCTCCATCTGGATCGGTGCACAAGTTGGTGACTCCATCCCAAACAATTTCATAATCCCATTTACACATATCGTAAAAACTTGGACGGAAGCGACCGGCCATGTTTTTCGTAAAGTGGGTGAACAGCTGAGCAATGGCCAAAGACTGTAACAGGCTTAAGAGGAAATCACGCGTGTCATGCGCGATGACTCGAACTTGGAAAAACAGCGGCAGTACGAAATTTACAATGAGGTTAATTCCGATAGGTAAGACGAGTCCTAGCGTCAAAAGAAGCCACATTGGTACTGCCCAAAACAAGAAAACATCATAAATCTTCTACAAAAATAAAAAAAATGAACTGGATCACTACTATACCTTCCTCAGCTAGCTTCTTGTTGTCAATCGATGGATCCAACCCCAAAACTACCGCACACGAACGCGATCCCAGGAACTGGGCGCTCGTGTACTTTGACCGATGCGCATGCGTAGGCTAACAAGAAGACGATGCCAGTGAGCACGAAATCCAGGACCCGGTAACCCTTCATCTGTACAATCGCTGTACCGTTTTAAATAAATTGTCTTCTTTAAGAAATTGATCATGCACTATACTTGGAGCTCGTTCGATTCGTGCTACAAGAACTCAGAAACAAAAGTAGAAAATTAAAAAAAATGGAACCCTTCCAGAGATATTTACGAAGCCAACAGACATCTAAAATAAAAAGATCTTAAAAAGTATTTTAAGTAAAGCGTTTTGAAGGGCACTTAGGCCTAAGACTCCCATTTACATGTAGTTTCTTACCTACGATCTCCCTAACTATAGGTCAACGCGTTGAGGATATTCTGGTCACGACATGGAACCAAACCATCTAAGATCCGACGGTTCTGGTTGTGCTCGAAGATGTCTCCGTCTTCGTTCTCATGAATTTTTGTGCTGCTTTGAATGCACTGAAAGTATCCATCATGGCGCTTAGGCACAGCGACAAACCGCCGCGAAGCTCCCGTATCGATACTTTTATCCGTAGATAAAAACTGCTTTGCACGGTTTCCACTGAGTCGGATATACGACAACACCGGCAGACGGTCGAGAACCGCCGGCTTCTCCGAAAGAAAGTTGCCCTCAAGACCAATCCTTTCCAGTCTTTGAAGCTCTGCAACCCCATCAGGAAGACCACAATCGATGCGATTGTAGTCCAAGTCTAGCTCCACAAGATTACGAAGACGATGAATTTGTTCCGGTACTGCCTTGAGTTGATTGTGACTCAAGCCGAGACGGTTAAGCAGTCTCAGCTTCGTGATCTGAGTAGGAAAACTTGTGAGCTGGTTATAATCCAGACGTAATTCACGTAGCTTGGGTGGAAACGTAACCTTGATTGGCACTGTTCGAAGTTGATTCTTCTCTAGATACAACGCTTCAAGATCCGATAACTGATTTAACTCTTCCGGTAAAGCAGTAAGTGCGTTCCCAGCAAGACCAAGGACACGAAGCTTGCTAAAAACTGAAATATCTGCTGGAAGGGACCCCAAACGATGATTTGTAAGCCAGAGCTCTGTCAGGTGGTGACCTCGATTCACATGCTCAATTATTGTCGCTGGGAGTATCTGGAAATGCTGGATGTATACTGACGACACTAGTGCATTTCGAGGAAGACTGAGATCCAATCGCTTTGTCCGGACAGCAGTAGCTAGTCGTTGTTCCATGAGTTCCCCATTCGCTCGTAGCTCCATCTTTAATGCATCATGGCCGTCCGGTTGATGCTTCTTTGGTTTCTGGTTGGGGTTTCGCTTCGAACTTCCGCGTATGCCTGTGCGTGCAGCCACGACTTGGCTTATATGTGAATCTACATTGGCAAAGCTGTTGTGAGTCTTCTTCGTGGAATGCATCTTGGTGATTAACTTGAAGGGACGGACTTAAAAACTAACAAAAGAAAAAAAATACTAACTTAAAAACCGGCATTTACCACTTTTTGCACTTTGTTGCTGTTGCATCAATAACTTTTTTTTTATAACCAAACCAAAGTTGCTGTTTGTTGTTGCTGTGGCACTTCCTGTTTATTCTGTGTCGTAGTCGTCTGAAAAACCATACTGGACGTCGTCATCATCCGAGTCATCTGAGTCGTACAAGCCACCGACGAGATCGAAGTCGTCCCAGTCTGCAACTTCAAAAAAGTGAAACAGATGGCTGTATTGTTGCAGCAACGACTGCAGCGCTGCGTCTCCACCTTGATGGCCATTTCGCCCACGTCGCGGCTTTGTCGATCGTTTGGGGCGATCCAAATGCTTAACGTCGCGACCTTCCGAGTCGCGGTGTGCGTAGAAGCAACGTGGACCGAACGGACAGCTACCAAATAGTCCGTTAAAGTATTTGCACTCACGCAGAGCCAAATGACTCTTGTACGCCTCGACAGCCTTGCGTTTCTCTTCTCCAGTCACGAATATAAGCGACGGAACGATGAAATCACTCGGCAGACGACATGCAGGACATGCACGAATCACTTCCAGCTCCATATCCTTCGACTGGCGCCATGAACGCAGGCAATCCAGACAGAAGCAATGGTCGCAATCTATTGGTTAATAAAAAAGAAATAGGCCGTCAGCAACTTTTAAATTAAACCTTCCCAGTGCAACAAAAACTCACGTAATAGACCAAAATGCTTGCCAGACTGGACGATGTCGTCGAAACAGATGCCACACGTAAAGTCTTGCTGGTTATCGTGTGTTGCAGCCACAGGAGTTGCAAGAGTTGCAGCATTGTTTGAGACCGGAAAACTGCCCATTCTTGGGGTTGAACGAGCTGAAGCTGCAACACGAGCTCCAGACAGCATGGCTGGGTTGTGTCTGAGACGACAGTGGTCGCCGTATTTGCAATTGCCGCGAAGATAAAATGGACAATCCACTAGCGCCGCTGCCGCCGACAGCCCCGCGGTCTCATCTGAGGCGCACTCGTTCACTTGGGAGGGGAGTGTATGTGAGAAGGTGCAGCAGCTGCCGTAGCGGCATTTGCCAAGCACGTAAAAACGGCAAAGTGCAGTTGTAGGCGCTGCTGCTACAGACTCTGACATACTGCGTTTCTCCTCGTAGTCATTACTCGCCTCAGAGCCATTATCGCTTAGATTCTGGGCTGCTAGTCGACGCTGTAGAGTCTCAAACACGCGCTCACGCTCGCAGCTGCGGTGGTTATCGATTTATTTGCATGTTATGGAGTGGAATCAGACGTTCAAGTGCAGGTTTTGACACGTACCTGGCGCTGCGAGAAGCCGCGGAAGCGGGATAGCGACTGCAACATAAATCAGCGAAGGAGTTAGAGATTATGCTGCATGTGCAGGCAGAGCAGAGCCCACCTACGAGACCCGGAGCCGCGCATTTTGATGCCGTAGCTCTTCGCGAATGTGACTCGATCTTTTCTTTCTCTCAAGTCAGACTTTGGAATCAGATTGTACCGTAATCCCGGTACATCTGCTCCGGTAACTTCAACTTTGGAACAAATAAACGGAGGTCGGCTAATCCTGGGGGCTCGTCCCTTCTTTGTAATAAAAACATTTTTTATAAAATAAATTTAATAGAAAAACATATTTTTAAGCCTGATGGAGCCCATCCTGTCGTTTCACTGAACATTTGATAATCCAAGCTGGAGAAAGCATTTGAGATCTGCCCGCCGCGGCTGGTTCGACCGGATGTCAGTTTTTGTGACACTATCCCAGGCCTCTCATTTTTCAATTCTTAATCGACGGTGGAAGTCATGGCTGTCAACGACGTAAAGCGATCACACGAGAAGGACGAGGTCGCGTTGGGGTACCAGTCTGTGGGGTCTCCACCGTTGCCTACAGGGATGCACTTGCCGATTAATGGAGGCCAGCGCAACTACCCGACGGAGGAGAGCGACGACCCACCAATCGATATCGCTGAAGCAGATGCCATCCGACCGCCGAGGGGAGCAGTGCAGCGATTTGTTCGCTACTATCGCGTTCTCGAGTTCGGCACTGCCGTCGTTCTGTACCTCCTGGCGCTAGTGTTCGCAGAGATCGACGTGCACGAGCGTCCAATTCCTGGAATTAAAGTCCGCTTGAACGCGACAGCCGTGGCGTGGTCTCTCGACCCATCAATTGACGAGAAAAAGTTATCTGAAGAAGGTGAGTGCAAAAATTCAGCTTGGGAAACAGGAAACTCGAAGCTAATGCGATTGTGTGTGTGTGCCAGTACCGGTGTGGCTTCTGCTGTCGCTTGGAATCGGTTTGCCTGTCGGAACAAATCTCATCATGAACTACGTTCTCCCAAAATGCATCCAAGTCCGCATTATCGCCCACGATACTCGTGACTTCCTTTTGAGTCTGTTTCAGTCGATGGCACTTGCCACTTTCCTAACGCAATTCACTAAAAACATCACCGGTCGCTTTAGACCGAGTTTCTACGACATGTGCAAGTGGAACCACGACGTTGTCTGGGACGGAGTCACCAACTTGTGCACCGACGCTGCTGGCGAGAAGGAAGGACGTAAAAGTTTCCCATCAGGTCATGCGTCGTTTGCATGGGCGTCTATGCTCGTATTGACGGTACGTTTCCATAAAATTTCGGTAAAATTTTTGCTTTTGCTGCAAACTAATGGTAATTTACGCGTTCGCTGCAGCTTTACCTGCTTGGCCGATCGCGTCTTAACTGCGAGAATCGCAGTAACTCCACGCTGCGAGGCGGCAAGAAATCCCTAATGCTGTTCATTTGCTGCTCGCCTGTTGTTCTTGCGGCTTGGATTTCCATCACGCGCTGCATCGACAACTGGCACCACTACAGTGACATCCTGGCGGGTAGTGTCATTGGAGCCGTGTCTGCTATTTTTGCGTTCAACTACAACTACGGATCGATCTTTGGCTACGATTCGGCGGGTCTTCCTCTCGAGGAGATCCATGAACGTCGCATGGTAAGAAGGGGGCAGGACGCAGACGCGACTCACGTGTAGAAGTGACAGTTTTTGTTTTTTACTAAAAAGTTGCGCTTTTTAACTTTTTTAATCTTAGAACAAAGCGAGAGAAGCCAGAATTGAGGAGCAGTTCGACATTCATCCAAATTGGGCTCACCGGTTCGAGTCGAGGCCGCCGCTACTCAAGCATATGTCGAGCGAGTACATCGTCGACTTCAGTAGCCGTAGCATGGACTCTCACATCGAGCATTAAATACTGAATATAACGTGCACGTTGGCTTCACTGTGCTGCGCGAGCCACGTAAATACCGATCACACGCAGAAGAATTCGTTCGCACTCGTCGATTAAAGCGACGTTGGAAAAGCCACTTGTGACAGCGTGGATTATGGCGTGCTTCTGGAAGTTTGAGCGAATGAGACACCTTGTCTTCAAGCGCAAAGTTCGGAGGCTCGCTTGAATACTGTAGTATTCGTAAAATCTGCCCAGTGCTCATGCCGAACGGCTCATGCGTGGCTGGACTGTTCGTACCTTTCCCTTACTGGCAAACCAGTTTGCATCTTGACGGTTCGTGGAGCATGAGGCTTGTGGCGCAAGGGGCAAGTTTTTTCAAAACAGCAACATCGTCTTCGATAATCGATGTGACTCACATTGTGAGACTGTGGCACTGGCACTCGTGCCGTTGAGTCGACTTAGATACAGTACTGTACTGTATCCGAGTCCTCGATAGTCGGACAAGGTTCCGAAAATAAAATAAACGGCGATTCACTATGCTCCGCTTAATCGCTGATTGGAAACGCGGTGTCAGTCTCACGTGCAGCTGCTTCTGATTCAAGTGTTCATTTTTCATTTTGCTCATTAGTGGCAATATGACCTGCAACACCATAGTCAAGTCCTTTGAGCTCGAGCGTGGATCAAATGAGTTCGTGTCGGTGACGACGCCCCCGCCAGCGACCGTCTGGAAGCCCCATGAGGAGGACGACGCGAGCTCAAACCGCCCTAAACGATGGCTGCGGTTACTGAACGAATACCGTGTGGCCGAGTACGGCTCTACACTTATCATGCTCCTCGTCGCCAAGTCCTTCACGCTGATGGCCGTCAACGACCGTACGCTTACGAAACTGGCAATTATCGATCTGTGGTAGACGTTGCTGATGCAGAATTCCTACGTCTGCAGGTCCAATTCCGAAAATCGAGATCCGACTGAACTCCACTACGATACTTTATGCACGGGACCCGACGGTGGACGAGAAGAAGCTGTACGAACAAGGTACTGTAGTCTGCAAAACTGCTGTCTGGCTTAAAAAAATGATCTAATGCGTGTTATATATTGGCCTGTGTAGTGCCAATGTGGTCTTTGATTGTGTTTGGCATCGGCATTCCGATCCTAACCAATCTGCTGCTAAATTTCGTGCTCCCCAAGTTTCGTAACATCCGTGTGATTCCTCACGACGTCCGCGACTTCCTCTTGAGTCTTGCTCAAGGCGTAACGATGTCCACGTTGCTCACGCAGTTTACGAAGCACGTAACGGGTCGTTTCCGTCCAAGCTTTTACGATATGTGTGGATGGGACTACGACGCGGTGTGGGACGGAGTGACGAACCTGTGTACGGATGCTGCTGGGGAGAAAGAGGGTCGTAAGAGCTTCCCATCCGGCCACGCCTCCTTCGCCTGGGTGACGATGCTCCTGCTCACGGTACGCTAGTCAATCGAGCTCTTGGAGATGGATCCCGATACTAACGCTACGTATACGTGCAGCTTTACTTGCTTGGACGCTCGAGACTTAACTGCTCACAGCGCAGCGAGTCGGCGATGCGAGGCGGAATGAAAGCACTGAAGCTGTTTCTTTGCTTTGTTCCCTGCTTAGCAGCGTCGTGGGTCGCCATTACTCGGTCAATTGATAACTGGCATCACTACAGTGACATTGTGGCGGGCAGCATCATTGGTGCCATCTCTGCTTGCCTCGCCTACAGCTACAACTATGGGTCTATTTTCTGCTGGAAGTACGCTGGCATGCCATGTGAAGCAATCCACGAGAAACTCAAGGTACGATTACAGCTTTAATTGTTTTCGTGCAACAAAAACATTAATTTCGGATGCAGTCCGAATCTTTGGATGACAGTCTGGAAGCGCAGGAGAAAGTTATGAACCGAAACACAAGAGTGTCAGGAAGTCAGCGAGTGCATTAATAGTTCATGCAAAAATTTGTCCGATACATGTACTACATCACCCCGGGGGCATACAAAATGCAAGTGGTGAACCTCACGTTGCCCTTGCGACAAGCACAGTTCAATTCTGAGACCGTACCATTGACACTTTTGTCATCTTCTCGGAGGAAATGGCCGAGGTGACTTGCGCCTCGACGCTGACGACTATCAGTCAGTGTACATGTACACGCCGTCACTGGACGGGAAGCATACAAGTGACGTGACGACAGACCCGGTAGACACCACAGAGACCCGACCCAGCGCAGAGAGATGGCAGAAGTTCCTTCGCGACTATCGAGTTATCGAATACGCCTTTGCCATCGTCCTGTACGTCATTGCAAGAATACTGGGCAAGTGGATGAATATGCACAAGCGTAAGTATTGAAGCTGCAGATAGCGCCTGTCATCCCTATCAGATGTGACTTTTTTAAAAGAGCTGCGGTAACCAACAGGTGCCTTCCCTCGGATTGAAATGCGCCTGAATTCGACCACGAGTATCTGGGGACGAGACCCTGCAATGGACCAGGAGAAATTATCAGAGCAAGGTGAGATGAACAACTGTTTGCTTTTATTGCTAGTGTAGCTAATTGATTGTATCTTGTTTTGAGCTCAGTGCCCATCCCATGTACATGCTCATTATTATCAGCCTCGCGATCGCAATCGCGATCAACGTCTCAATCAACTACGTGCTTCCCATGTTTATCAAGATTCGCGTCACTACGCACGACTTTCGCGACTTCCTGTTGAGTTTGGGCCAAGCGATCACACTGTCAACCTTCCTGGTCAACTTCACGAAGAACATGACCGGCCGCTTCCGTCCGTGTTTCTATGAGATGTGTGGCTGGAATTATGACGTCGTTTGGGATAGCGTCACGGACTTGTGCAGCGACTCCGATGACGATGACGAAGGCCGTAAGAGTTTCCCGTCTGGACACTCGCCTTTTGCATGGTCGGTTATGGGTGTACTCACGGTAAGTACATGCAGAAGATTGCATCACTGCGTCTAACCCCTCAGGTTTGATACTCGTTCTGCAAAGCTCTACCTTCTAGGACGTGCAAGACTTACAAGTGCTGAACAGAGCAGGTCGATTCTTCAGGAAGGCGTGCGGACGCTCAAGCTTTTCTTCAGCTTTCTGCCGTGCTTGGGAGCAGCGTGGGTTGCTATCACACGCTCAACCGACAACCGACATCACTACAGTGACATCGTCGCTGGTAGTGTAGTTGGTGCTGCGGCCGCTTGCCTGGCTTATAACCACAACTACGGGTCAATTTATAGTTGGGAGATGGCTGGGTTGCCGTGGGAAACCATCCACGAACGGAGGAAGGTGCGTTGCAGGCTTCAACTTTGAAAATCAGGCGGAAGCTAACAGGAATTGGCTGGCTACCTACTTGTAGGCAAAATCGGATGATGTACTGATCGAAGAGGGGGCTGCCAACTCAGCGCAGCATGTTGTCGGAATCCCGACTCGGGATGATCAATCGTGCTAGCAGCTCGTCCAAGGTGTAAATTTTCGCTGATAAAAAGGAGCGATATCCGCTGACCGACTTGTGATCGGATCAGTAAATTCACCTACGCCCTGGATGTACTGCAATTGATACAGGTGATCATGGACGCTAGAGGTCAATTTGATCTGCTGTCCCATTATCATCAAAAGCTTCTTTTCACCTACGGAAGCTACAGGTACCGGCGTCTTCAGGTTCCTAAATTAATCAGTACTTCTGAAGGCCTCTAATTAAAATAAAAAAGAAATTTTCTGTTATGAATCTGTGAGTCGTCTTCCAAACCTAATGAAATATGCCACCAGCATGATCCTTATTTAATAGCAGCTCAATACATGTATGCAGCGCGGTTGATCGACTACATGTATTACACGTATGGATACCGGAACCGGTGACAAGTTTATTGGATGCAGTCAACGGGTCAAACGGATTTTCGTGGCCACATTTTTGTTAGTTTTGGCCTGTCCTTGTTTTGCTGGCTGTTTTCGGTGAGCAGCTGCGAGATATTTTCTGATACAACTGTGAGGAAATACCATCGGTCAGTAGAAAACTACTGATCTGTCCCCAACGCGGCGCTGCCTGCACAACTACTGATTTCACAGCTACTGGGGTGCTGTTAAGTTCGCATTTGCATTTTCTCTTAATTCTGCCTCGTTTGGTGTTAAGTTCGCATTTGCATTTTCTCTTAGTCCTGCCTCGTTTGGTCTATCAGTCTCTGACTCCGGCGCGTTGGCTGCTCGCGACGCTGGGTTCGTCTTCTCTGCGTAGATTGATAGACCCAGACATAATTGACGGACTCGTGTTCGAACACCATCTTTAGGCGCGCTGGCACGTTGGTCCCACGTCAACTCTGTGTACCCCACCCATTGAATAAGGTAGTATACGAAGTTATTGACCCACCGTTTGGCGTATATTCTTTCTATCTCGAAGAGCTGAGCATTGTCTCCTCTACGAGCTCGGCGCTCGTTTGCCAAAAGACCTCCTCCTCTACTGACAACGTCACGTAACCCACCACCTATGGACGATGCACGCTCGGCGTCCAGCTCTCGGTCGACTTCGTTCGGTATGCTAACTTCTCTGCTTAGACGAATCTGCCAAAAGGAGCCGTCCAGACGGCGCTGGATCGTTCGGGCGTGACGCTGTCGGGGGTTGAGCGGAGGCATCGACCAAAATGGCGAATGCCACCGAAGTGCACTCCACAAAAACAACCATATAAATAAAGGCGTTTTGAGCAGCTAAAAAATAGTACACCGAATTAACATGTTGACGTTGAAGTAGCTGGGTACACGACGTATCCAGCTGGTTACTCTCAGGGTACGTTAGTAGAGTTCTATCTACTCACAGAGATTGACTCCCCAGTCCGTTTGCTGCTGATATTTATTGAGAGTGAGGATCAGTAAGATAATCTATTGGAAAGAAATACCTTAATTATTAATCAGCAGTCAACGATTGCAATTGTTTGTGTCGTTAGTTTCCTTATTTGTGTTGGAAACTCAGTGTCTGCAATATTGGCTCGCGTCGCGTATACTCCCCCATACTTTTGGCTGGAGCATCAACTTTTGCGTCCTCCCTCAAAACACCCATGCTTTTAGCTGTAGCGATGTCAGAAAGATCTACCACGAAGGGAGAACTCCCATAATTCGGAGGCGGCTTTCGAGGCATGGTACGCTTAGGGCAAAAGCGGTTTTGCTGAAGGCAGCAGAAATGTAGTTATGATTAGAGTTAGGTACGGATCGAACTTTATCAGTTTCTACTGATTGCCGTCTTTTCTGCGCCGCGTTGGGGACAGATCAGTAGTTTTCTACTGACCGATGGTATTTCCTCTACAACTGTCTGTGAAAATGATTACTTTAGGAAGATGTGCTTGTCCTTTTCGGAAATTGACAGTAAAAGTAAATCGATTTCCCTCTTACAAATTATGATGCAGAATTTAGACAGTCGCATTCGATTAATCAATCCCATCCAGGTGGCTTTTACGATCCAGTCGCAAGTGGGACTTCATTCTTGTTTTCTCTCCATTTCGCACAGTCTATCGTTGGGTCGTTTGCTCTCTCGCTACCTGGTTGTCCGTCTGTTGGTCGATTAGGCGAGCCACTATAATAGTGAAGAAGCGGTGAAGAAGCCCTCTCTTCGCGTGGTACGGCGACGCAGCGATCACGACGGAACGTGGTTACCCAGGCAGACTTCGGGCTGCTTCAAGCAACGCGAGTGACGTGCCCTTCATGGAATCCATCACGTCCGCGGCTGATCTGCCAGCGCTGGCGGGGTCTGACTCCCGCAATGGCAAATGGGAGCGCCTCACGCGTGACTACAGAGCAGCCGAGTTTGCCATATCGGTGTTTATGTATGGCTTTGCGCTCTTCTTCGCCAAGATTCAGGTCGCACAGCGTACGTCATTTGTATCTGCTGTATGTGTGTGACGTTTGAATAGCCACTGAAGTGGTTTATTGTTTGACAGGTGAGATCCCGAACATCGAGGTGCAGCTGAACGCAACAACTTCAGTGTGGGCGAGGGACCCGACGATAAATAACAAGGAGAAGGCGCAACAAGTTCCGATGGTCGCTCTGATCGGTGTTGGCGTCGGAGCTCCGATCATTATCAATTTGTTTATTAATTACGCGCTGCCCAAGTTTCACCGCGTGCGCATCATCCCGCACGATGTCCGTGATTTCTTCCTGACGATTGTGCAGTCCACAAGCATGGCGACATTGCTGACACAGTTCACCAAGAACATGACTGGACGCTTCCGCCCGTGCTTCTATGACATGTGCAAGTGGAACTACGATGTCGTATGGGACGGAGTGACCAACCTCTGCCAAAGCGCGTCGGGTGAGAAGGAAGGTCGCAAGAGTTTCCCATCCGGACACGCCTCTTTTGCATTTGCGACGATGCTTGTTCTCACGGTAGGTGGCTGTGCAGTTGGTTTGTGCATCAAGTGTATAATTCTAATTATTTTTTTATGTGATACTATCAGCTCTACTTGCTGGGTCGATCTTCATTGAACTGTGAAAACCGAAGTGAGACGATGATGCGGGGTGGACGGAAGACGCTTAAGTTGTTCCTCTGTTTTATCCCTACATTTCTGGCGGCCTGGGTGGCAGTAACTCGAACGATCGACAACTGGCACCATTACGCTGACATCCTAGCAGGTAGCATAATCGGTGCCGTCTCCGCTTGCTTGTCGTATAGCTACAACTACGCTTCCATCTTCCACAGTGAGCATGCTGGCGTTCCTCTGCAACGATGTCATGCAGTGACCTGCAAGGTATATCAGCAACAGTTTCTTTCATGGATTGCTATTCGTGGTAGCTAATTATTTCTTGTGTCTTGTGCAGGGCAAGCTGAGCTCGAATGGTAGCGGCATCACATACGCGAGTAGTGGGTCACTCAGCACTGACCAGGAAAGCGAGTTAGGCAAGATGGCAAACGCGCGCAACGACTATGTTGTGAATGTCCACAACCGAGTCAACAATAATGGTAACTAGGCGCCTGCCTGTATTTTGCGTATGCCCTGGGTAGATAGTAATCGAAAACAACCATTTTCTAACCAAAATACCTGCTATTTTTCTTGTTTTCGTTGCAGTCTACAGCTTTTAGCATGTGACCTTTCGTGAACCAACCTCAAATTTCTGAAGCAAAGAATTCGCTCGCGGATTCTCCATCGCTTCCACGCTCCATTGATGCGTACAAAATCGCCGTGTACTTGTTTTAAACACCAGCCACTGGAGAATATAGAAGCACTGTACTGTACAACCACGGAGATTGTTGCGAACGACTTGCCTTGTTCATGACTGCAGTCGGACCTCAACTTGGTTACGGGTCTCAATCACTTGATTGGTTAAAAAGACATGCACACTAAACAATCGGCGTTGGTGTTCGAAATGGTCTCCGACGATGGCGACGAAGTTGACGAGTACACGCTCATGATAGCAAGCTCACCGGAGCTCTCATCCGCAGATGATCGTTGTGATGCACGAAGCAACCTCTCGCGTCACCTTCGCCGAGTTTAGCTGCACGTTTGTCATGTTCGGCCTCGCGCTTTTCTTCGCCTGCATCCCGGTTCAGCAACGCGTAATTCCCAGAGTTGAAGTGCAAATAAACGCAAACAGAACAATTTGGTCACGAGATCCGACGCTTAATGCCAAAGTGCATCCAGAGCAAGTCCCGACGGAGAGTTTGATCTTCTTCGGCGTCACGGTTCCAGTGACAATCAACTTGCTGATGAACTACGTGCTACCGAGGACATTGAAGGTCCGACTTGTCCCTCACGACACGCGACTTTTTGCTGACATTAGCGCAATCTGCAAGTATGAGCGAGTTGCTGACAGAGTTCACTAAGAACCTCACTGGACGGTTCCGTCCGAGCTTCTACGACATGTGCGGCTGGCAGTACGACGTGGTGTGGGATGGCAACACCAACCTGTGCACCGACCCGGCAGGTGAAAAAGAGGGACGGAAGAGCTTTCCATCGGGCCACGCTTCGTTTGCGTGGTCTACGATGCTCGTGTTGACGGTACGCTGCTCTTCTTGTACAGCCTGTAATTTATTTTCAATCCTAACTGTTTACCCTACTACGACAGCTCTATTTGCTTGGACGATCGCGTCTCAACTGCAGAAATCGCAGTGAGTCTGCAGTGCGAGGCGGTCGAAAGATGCTGAAGCTCATGCTCTGCTTTGTGCCATCCTTCGGGGCTGCATGGGTGGCAGTAACTCGAACTATCGACAATTGGCATCACTACGCGGATGTTTTAGCTGGTAGCATAATCGGAGCCGTGTCTGCGTGCGTATCCTACAGCTACAACTATGGTTCTGTATTCAGTTGGGACTCTGCGGGCGTCCCTCGTCAAGAACTCCATTTCAACCGTTGTTTCACCAAATAAAACCGTAGAATTTACTTTATTTTTTCGCTTTTCATTTGATTTTTGTATTGAATGGCGCAACAAGTGGAAGTGGTCGATCTCGCTGGTGATGACGATTCCGACGCCGTGATCTCGTCTCTAGCTGCGCGTTGGCTGCTGTACGAGCGCGAAATAGTGGAAGAACTGCATGGACAAGACGGAGTATTGGTGCTAGGTCGTGGGCTTGGCCTCTTGCGCGTGTTAGCGAGCTTCATTCGTCTCTATTGCTCGCCCCGCAGCCTCGTGTTGTGTCTCAACGCTAACGAACAGGCAGCGACGCTGCGGCGTCTGGTATTGGCGTTAGGTCTCGACCGCCGCCTATTACCACGTGTGGTGGACGCCAGAAACAACCTGAATGAGCGGCAGCAAATGTACAAACGCGGCGGCGTCTTCTTCGTGACTGCGCGTATCCTCGTAGTGGATCTGCTATCTAATCACGTGGACCCGGGTCTCATCAGCGGCCTGTTAGTGAATAACGCACACCACGTGACTGAAACGTCGATTGAAGCGTTCATCCTCCGACTATACCGTGAACGCAATCGAGAAGGATTCATCAAAGGCTTTTGCGACGACAGCGTCGCTCTTTCCTCGGGTTTCAACCGCGTGGAACAGGTGCTTAAGCATTTATACGTGCGTAACGTGTTTTTGTATCCCAGGTTTCATGTTGCTATCAACTCGTGCTTGGAGAAACACCAGCCAGAAGTGTATGAGATCGAAGTGGGCTTCTCTCCGTCGATGAAGATTATGCAGGAAGCTCTTCTTGTTGCACTAGAAGCTACAGTCAAAGAGTTGCAACGCAGTACTAAGTCACTAGACGCTGCCGATCTAACGATGGACAAAGCTCTTGCCAAGTCATTCAGTATCTTCATTCGACGACAACTGGACCCGCTGTGGCATAAGCTGCCAGTCAAGACTAAGCAACTCGTCGGGGACTTGTCCACACTGCGTCAATTACTGGCATATCTTCCACGATACGACGCCATTTCCTACTACTCTTTCCTGGTTAACTACCAAACAATGAACGGCCAGCAGCGTTTTCCTTCGCCGTGGCTGTTCACGGACGCTGCAGATCGACTGCTAACTGCAGCAAAAGAGCGACTGTATCATATTGTGGACTCAAAGACTGGGAAACCTGTTAATCTTCGCCAAGTATCTTCCAATGGTTCAAGCTCTAAAGCTGCTGAGAACGCTGAACTGAAGCTGACACTGGATCAAAACCCAAAGTGGGAGGCGTTGAGGGAGATTTTGGATGAAGTGTATGCTGAACAAAAGAAGAAAACAAGGCAGACCAAGGAGAATTCTGCAGCAGGAGGGGCAAGCGTCTTGGTGATGGTCAAAGACGAACGAACGTGTGCGCAGATACGTGAATTCTTGAGTTTGGGTGCACAGGAAATGATGCGACGGCGATTCGGTCATTATCTGCTACAGAAAGAGGCTGCGTTGAAGCAAAAAGGAGGTAGCATGGCGTCACTGGGACTGGAGCAGAGACTTCTACTCGAAGCTGCTGCCAAGCTAAGGACAGACGAGCTTTTTACTCAAGACACGACACCAAAAAGTAAGAAAAAAGCTGGCAAGACGAAGAAACGGGTGCGAGAGGAGTCGTCACAATCAAGTTACAGTGACGTTCAGACTCACGCCACGGAGGTATCAAGCTTCGGTTTATCGACAGCAGAACTAGAGGCCATCACTGCTGCGCAAGAGGAAACCGAGCGAGAGAGCAAGTCGAAAATGTTTCTAGATGGACGACTTCGCGCTTCATCAAGTTGTGGAAATCGACCAACGGGCACATCGAATTTGTCTCTTGAAGTGGTGGATCCAATGGACAGCGTCGTGTTATGTACTTACGAACAGGCCACAGAGCACGGCTACGGTGCTTCAGCGTTTCTAGAGGATCTCATGCCTTCTTGTATCGTCCTCTACGACCCAGACATGGCGTTTATTCGCGAAGTGGAAGTATTCCACGCGTCGCATGTTGCTCCGCTTGAAATTTACTTCCTCATGTACGACGAAAGCACAGAGCAGCAGTCCTATCTGAGCGAAATTCAGCGCGAGAAGCGAGCTTTTGACAAGTTAATCCACCAGAAAGCACACTTGATGATGCCAGCGAATGTATACGACCTCCCGCTTCACATGAAGCTACGACAGCAGACGGTGGAGTACAGTATGGACACACGAACTGGTGGTCGAGCCAAGTCTCATCGCGCTGGAGTTAAAGTCGTCGTTGATGTTCGTGAGTTCCGTAGTGCCTTGCCGTCCATGCTCCATAAAGAAGGACTGTTTGTCCTCCCCGTGACACTGGAAATCGGTGACTATGTCTTGTCCCCGGAGATTTGTGTAGAGCGCAAAAGCATCAGCGATCTCTTCGGCTCGTTAAACTCTGGACGTTTATTTAACCAAGCCGAAAGCATGCGACGTTTCTATAAGACACCCGTGTTGCTAATTGAGTTCACTCAAGGCAAAGCATTCTCGCTTCAAGACGTGTCGGAGATTGGTCCAGAGATCAGCGCCACGAACATCGTCTCCAAGCTGACACTACTCATTCTACACTTCCCGTCGTTGCGACTCCTCTGGTCCCGCACACCACATGCAACCGTGGATCTCTTCAAGATCGTCAAAAGGTACCAAGACGAACCCGACATGGAAGCTGCAGCGGCACTAGGCAACGGCTTACCGATGGACGACAGTGCTGCTCAGACGAACAGCGGGGAGGGAGGCCTAGCGTCGAATTACTACAACACCAGCTCGATCGATGTATTGAAGAAACTACCGGGCATCAATGAACATAACTTCAGAAAAGTCTTAGCGAGCGTCACGAATCTCGCTGAGCTTAGTCGCATGTCGTTAGACGAACTCACGGAGCTACTGGGGAAAGCAAACGGCAAAAAGTTACACACGTTTTTCAACAGCACCGCGTAAAAATGCAAGCGTTTCGAGTACGTTTTTAAGTGCTGCCTTCGTTTCTAAACGAGAATCTGGACTTGCCATTTTTAAAACTTGAACACTTGAGTGGAGGTGTAGTTCATGTCTTTCAGCAGACCTTGCAGTTCGCCCTGAGACCTGTCCTTCGCCTTGTCACCCGAGACGTGGTACATCATTGGCGGAGGACCGCACACACACACGAGGTTGTCGTCTGACGGCTCCGGCATGTACTTTTCGATCATCTCCTTGGACACGAAGCCTGTAAGACCCTTCCACTCGGCGGACGGGTTGCTGAGCACGTGGATCACGGAGATCTGCGGGTACAGGTACATCATGGCCTCCACTTCTTCACGCAGGATGATATCTTCTTCCGAGACACTGCAGTACAGCAGCGTGATCTCGGTGCGGTCCTCCGGGTTGCGGCAAATGGCCTTGATGAGCTGCAGCATGGGGGTGATACCGGAGCCGCCAGCGATCATGCCGATGCTCTTGTACCTGTTGGGGTAGTAATTGAACTTGGGAAAGGGACCTTTCATGTCAAGAGAGTCTCCTTCTTTGAGCTGCACGATGTGCTTGCTGAGCTTTCCCTGTGGGTAACCCTTGACTACGAGCTCCAAGAAACCCTTCTCGTCGTTCACGTTGACAGGCGTGTAGGGGCGCACCACTGTCTTGCCGTCTACCTTGGCACGAGCCATAAGGCAACTAGGCGTCGTGAGACCCATCTCGTGCTCGGGTGTGGGAAGAGCGAACGTCACGCGCTTCGTGTTGTAGTTCACGGTCTCAACTTTACGCACAGTGAAAGAACGGAACTCCTTGGGGCTCAACGCCACCTTGGACTTCTCCTCTTCGCAGCGAGTAGAGGAAACACTGGAGAAGGCAGCGAACGCAGCCATACCTGCCGCCACAAGCGCGCTGCGCGACACGGACTTGGCCTGCGTAGGGAACCGCATGATCATCGTCGACCACATGACAACTACTGTAGGAGAGGGTACCAGAACGACCGGGCCGCGGTTTTTGACCAATGATATCGCTTGAAACCGCATTTTCGGCCAGTTTGATTAGTTGATGGGGTAACGGCTTTTAACTGGAATTTTGAGGTAAAAATTGATGGAGCAAGCTTCGAGTGCCGCGGTGCAACAGCCCACGGCGTGGACACGCGGGCCATGCACATCTTGTCAACGCAGCTATAAGTTTTACTGTCCCAAGTGTAATATTCCGCTTGGAGCACCCGATAATGTGACGGTTCCAGCGCTCAAATTGCCGCTGCAGGTGCACGTGTGGTTTCAGGACAAGATCAAGAAGAGCACAGCGCCACACGCCAAGGTGCTAGCGCCACAGGATGTTCAGATCGTGCCCTATCCAGCAAAGGGTGGAGAAACGCTACCGACTTACACGCGCGAGAACGCTGTCGTGGTGTACCCATCCTTCGAGGCTGAAACGCTCGAGCAGATCAACGCAGAGGAGCTTCGAGATATCCGCACGCTTATCTTCATTGACTGTCCGTGGCAAAAAGCGCCCGTGATCATGACAGACCCAGCGATTACCGACTTACGCCACGTGAAACTTGCTCAGCCTCCGAAAGAAAGCAATTTCTGGCGCTACCACAAGGCAGGAGCAGGTTGCGTCTCCACGATTGAAGGTTGGGAAATGTGTATGCAGGATGCATATTAAGTGGAAGCTGATGATATTATTTTGCGTATTGATGCAGCTATTCAACTAATGCTGGAGGAGTACACTGCAGCTGCAAAGAGGGCGGAGATCTCATTACCGGAGGGCTCGGAGGATACGCAGCTGTCAGACTTGCTGTTCTTCTTTAAGCTGCAGTTCTCGCGTATCGCTGAACATTTTGAAACTGAAGCTGATCCAGAAAGGAAGCCACCGATGGACGCCGACGAGAAGGAGCGTCGTCGTTTGATGTATAGCCAAAAGGATAAGGGAAAGAAGCGACGACTCGAGAACAAATTGCAGGCTTGGGAGGCGCGCTCCAAGGCGATTCAAGCTGGCGAACAGCCACCGGCCACAACGCAGAGCAAACGTCACCGTCGGTGCTACAACTGCAAGAAGGACGACCACCACTCGAAAGACTGTCCACAGCCATGCCGGTACTGCAAGCAAGTTGGCCATTTCAGCGCCAATTGCGGCATGAAGCAAGCTGCGTATGAGCGCGAGATGAAATTCCAGCAAACACCGCGCACCAAGGCCTTGTAGCCATATTCCTGTAGCCATATTCGATTTGCAAGGAAGTGGTACACTCTGATACTGTATTGCAGTGAGTCATTTGACTTGACGTTTGTATGTTCCGATTTGCGCTCCCCCCTCATTCATAATACAAGGAGCCCGCATTTGCGAACGTACCGCGGCGGAGCATGGCTGAAAGCTTCACGCGGTTCCTGCCGGGGCTGCGCAGCAGCAATAGCAGCGTGCGGCACCGTGCGGCGCAGAGCTTGCGGCTGTACATCGAGTCCGAGTCGCGCGATCTGTCCCATGGACTTTATATGAAATGGGTTACCGACATCAGCGCACGCCTCATGCTGCTGTGCAACTCGAACGAGAACGCAGATCGTATGGGCGGTATTGCAGCCATGGACGAGCTTGTAGAGCTCTTTATCGCTGAGCGCAACGACCAGACTATCATCGAGTTCGCCCATTCGCTTACTAAAGTCTTTGAGAAGATCCCAAGCGCAGACCCGCCCATGCTACGTGTAGCTGCCAAGGCGCTTGGTCACATTGTGTCTACTGGCGGTACCAGTCTCATTGAATTTGTGGAGGACTATCACGTTAAGCCCGCGCTCGAGTGGCTGAAGAACGAGACATTTCATGTACGTCGCCACGCCGCCGTCATGATCCTCAAGGAACTATCTATCAACGCGCCGTCCACGTCCTTCAGATACATGGACAAGTACTTTGACTTCATCTGGAGTGCGTTCTGGGACTCGAAACTCGTAGTAAGAGTGAGTGCCAGTGAGTCGCTCCAGTCCTGTTTTATGCTGATCCAACAGCGCGAATCCAATCGTAAAACGTCGTGGTATAACCGCGCACTGGACGAAGCCGAGGGTGCCTTTAAGCGTAACAGCTCAGACGCTACACACGGAGCGCTGTTGATTCTGAATGAGCTACTGCGCAATACAGGAGACTTTATGCACTCACACTACGGCCGTGCTTGTCGTCTGGTCTTCAGCCACCAGGATCACAAAAGCGCTACTGTTCGCTCTGCTGTAATCAGTCTGTTCCCTCGTTTGGCCAAGTTTAACACGTCAGTGTTCGTGGAGAAATGCTATCGTCCCTGTATGAATCATTTGCTCGAGGTTCTCTTCTCAGCTACGACGACAACACGTCCGGACGCGCTGCTTTCTATTGGAAAACTCTCGTTGGCTATTGGACCGCTACTAGCGAGGGATGAACAGGCTTTGATGGCGATTATGAATGGAATTAAGGGCGGATTACAGGTGCGTAAGAAGGACTTCGATACACATCGAGAGGCACTCGCGTGTCTACGGATGCTGGCGGACACGGTGGGTCCTGCACTCATCAGAGTCGACTTGGAGTCTATGGTGGGGCCGCTGTTCCAGAACGACTTGGACTCGCCACTCGTGGAGACTCTGACGACTATCGTCAAGAAGATCCCACCGATGAAGCCTATTATCCAACAGAAATTGTTCGAACGACTAAGTTCGATCTTGCGCTCCAGTCACAACAATGCTACGGGATCGGCGTCGACTCCTACCAGTAGGAGACTTAAAACAACGTCCATTTCAGTGACGGGAGGCATGCTATCGAATCTGTTTCTGTCCGCTACGGGGGCAAAGACTAATGGAACGTCCGAGAATGGTGCTCCGTCAGCTGAGGTGTCGTCGGCTATTGCGATGCAGGCGCTGGCATTGGAGACGCTGGCGAACTTCGACTTCCAGGGCAACCGACTCATCCCAATCATGTCTTTTGTTCACGAAACGGTGGTGAAATTTCTTGATCATGAGGTTGCGACTATCCGCAAGAGTGCTGCCCTCACGTGCTGTAAGCTGCTACTGCCGCAAGGTGAAGATCGTGGTGGCAACACGGCGATGACTTCGGAAGACTTTGCGCGTCCTGTCACGTCGGTTCTGGAACGTTTGTTAACTGTGGGTATCGCCGATAATGAAGCGAGTATTCGACTGCGTGTTCTCGCGTCGCTGGACTCCCGATTCGACCCGCTGCTAGCACTGAACGATAACTTGCGGTGCCTATTTATTGCGTTGAACGATGAGGTTTTCAGTATTCGGCAGACGGCCATGAGCACGCTAGGACGACTTACACACCACAATCCTTCTACAGTGCTGCCGTCGCTTCGACAAACATTGGTGCAGCTGTTAGCGGAGTTGGAGTTTAGTGGAGACTCACGTGGCAAGGAGGAAGGCGCGCTTTTGGTTGGTTGTTTGCTGCGTTCTGCTTCACAACTGGCCCAGCCGTACGTTCTCCCTATTCTTCGCGTGCTAATGAAGAATCTGCGTGAAGACTCAGAGCGTCGTAGTCATAGTCGAAGCACTGTCAGCGTGAGCAAAGCCATCTTGGCAACATTGGGTGACTTGGCGGAAGTTGGAGCTCAAGAGCTGACGCCGTATCTCGGTCAGCTGCTGCCGGATGTAATCGACGAGATGCGAGACTCTAGCAACCCGCAGATTCTACAAGTTGCTATCAAAACGCTGGGTCAGCTCGTGTCGTCAACTGGTTATGTGGTTCTGCCATATCACGAGTATCCAGAGCTATTGGACCTGCTGTGTCAAGCCCTACAGAAGTCTGGTGACGCATTCGAGTCTTTACGTATTGAAGCAGGACGTACGCTTGGTGTCTTGGGTGCGTTGGATCCGTACAATCTCCGCCTGTTCCATTTGCAAAAGCAAGGCAAACTCACTGATGCTAAGAAGAAGGAGTTCCGTTCCACTGCGTTTGCAGTTGATGCTGGCGGCGTGTTTAGTCTAATGGCCATTGCAGCGAACCCTTCGCAAACGTTTTCGACTAATGGATTTGGCTCTGGTCCAAACGCGACAAATGGAGCTCTTATTGGTATTCGAATTGGCAATGGAATTGGCGGACCTGGAGTGCTTGATGGCAGCAGTGAGGAAGACGCTCAGCAACTTGGAGAATCGCTGTTGCTCACACCGGCGCGGAAGGTGGAAAAAAGTGACAAGAAGACTAGTGGAAAGCTGACTAATATCATCCTGGAGGTCCCGCCTGACGACTTGCTGCCGTCAATGATCCCTGACTCCTCCCAGTATTTTCCTACAGTCGCGACTAATGCGTTGATCAGAATATTGCTGGAGCCGCGTAACTCAGTACACTACCAGGGTACGTTCATGGCCATCATGTACATCTGCAAGAGCCAGCGGAAACGTATGGGGCAGCATTTGGACAAGATCATCCCAGCGTTTCTATACGCACTGGAGAAGGTGAACCGCTCTCTACGCAAGTTCTTGTTCGAGCAGCTTTGCGACCTGGTGCAGATTGTCGAGGAGCAGATTCAGCCACACTTAGACCACGTGGCGTTGCTTTCTATCGTGAACAGTTATTGGGACGAACATTTGGAAGAAGTTCTCAACTTGGTCAAGAAACTAGCGAATTCGCTTGGTGAGAAGTTCCGTGTCTACTTACCGGATCTGATTCCTCAGATGCTGCGTGTGATTCGTACAGAACGTGACAATCCAGCTCGACCTCGGACGCTTTTGGTGCTAAAAACTTCAGTATCGCTCGGACGTTTGTTGGATGGCTATCTTCACTTGATTATCCCAGCTCTCGTGGCACTGATCCAGAGTGATGCAGATATAAATGCAAGGAAACAGGGACTGGGCTCACTGGGTTCGCTGGTCAAGAAGCTTAACGTGAGTGTGTATGCTTCGAAGATCATCCACATGTTGGCACGTGTGATCTCGTCGCAACCGGAGATGGTGTATCTGGCAATGGATTGCTTGTGCTGCATGGTGTACACCATGGGTGACGACTACGCGATCTTCGTACCAGTTATCAGTCAGGTTCTGGGCCGTCACACGTCACGTTCCAACGATATTTTCGATCGCTATGACCTTCTAGTGTCGAAAATTCTGAAGTACCAACCGCTTCCTGTAGCTTCGTGGGCAACTGATCCACTCAAAGCGCGCGTGGACACCTCAAATGACCACAAGGACTCAAGCTTAGCTGGGCAAGATGAAACGAAGAGTCTACCGTGCGATCAAAAGAACTTGGTGAAGGCGTGGGAAGCATCTCAGCGATCGACAAAAGAGGATTGGAACGAGTGGATTCTCGCCTTCTCGGTTGAATTACTGCGAGAATCTCCGTCCCCTGTTCTCCGTGCTTGCAAGGAGCTGGCTTCGGTGTATCAGCCTCTGGCTCGAGAGCTATTTAACGCTTCATTCGTCAGCGTGTGGCCTCATCTTTCGTCTGCGACGCAAGATAACTTGATCAGGTCTTTGGAGTCCGCCTTCCAGTCGCCACATTTGCCATCGGAGATTCTTCAGACGCTACTCAACCTTGCAGAGTTCATGGAGCACGACGATCAACCCCTACCGATTGATATTCGATTGCTCGGATCTTTAGCGGACAAGTGCCATTCGTTCGCGAAGGCTCTTCACTACAAAGAGCTCGAGTTCAACACGAACCCAAGCACTGATGGGATCCAAGCGCTTATCAGCATTAACTCGAAGCTGAATCAGCCTGAGGCTGCACGTGGTATCCTGAAATACGCTTTGGAAAAGCTGCCAGGCATTGAAGTGAAGGCTTCGTGGCACGAAAAGCTCCTGAGATGGGATGACGCGTTAGTGACACACGATCGTGTCTTACTAGACAACCCGAACAATGTTGAAGCCATCTTCGGCAAGATGCGTTGTCTGTGGGCCATTGGCGAGTGGCGCAAATTGAACGATCACGTGCAGGAGACTTGGTCTAAGATCTATGGAGAAGGACAGGACCTGAACGGTGAACAGGAAGATGGTGAGAAGCTGCTAGATGTCCCTCCTGCTTTGAAGAGAGAGCTGTGCAGTAGTGGCGCACGAGTAGCTTTCTCGCTGCAGAATTGGGACTCTATTCCGAAGTACATCAACTCAGATATGGACGCTACGGAGTCGCATTTGTTCAAGGCGGTTGTGTCGATCCGACGAATGGAACTGGACGAGGCTATGAACTCCATCGGCGACTGTCGAAAGGAGATGGACCCAACTCTACGTTCCCTTGTGAGTGAGAGTTATGCTCGGGCATATCTTCCGGCGGTTGTAAACCTGCAGATGCTGACGGAACTGGAGGAGATCGTCTCGTATCTGAAGACTTTTGCGTACAAGAACAACGGGGAGCTGACGCTTCTGTCAACTCCAGCTTCGTCCACTTCGATGTCTACAACTGCGTCACGTCGCAAGCAGAGTATCAGCAGTCTCAACTTTGTGTCGTCTTCGTCGTCCACTTCGTATGGACACGAGAAGCAAGTAGCGCTGAAGAAATTGCAGACGATCTGGACGAGACGTATGCTCGGAGTGGAGCGCAACATCCAAGTGTGGCAGAGTCTCATGTTGGTGCGGTCACTTGTGTTTGATCCCAGAGAAGACGTCGATATCTGGCTCAAGTACGCGCGCTTGTGTCTGAAATCGGGACATATTAACCTTGCAGCCAGCGCACTCTGGCGTGTCGGAGCACAGCCGTTCATCCGCAGTGTTGAACGAGACCCGTATGCGCCGATTCCGATCAATCTCGGTGGTAACGCTGGAGCTAGTCAAGGTTTCGCAAATGGCTTGTTGAGTCTAGCGGACAGTGCAGCGCAAGACCCGCGGGTGGCCTTCAGCTACCTGCGGCACTTGTGGGCAGAGAACCGCGAAGATGTGGCTTTGAAGCAAATGGATTACTTCATCGAAGCCTTGGAACAACATGGGGATCCAACGAACGAGGATTTACGGAAGCTGCGAGTACAAGTGTATATTCAACTGGGTGAGTGGCAAATGTCCCTTACTGAACCACACAAGCAATCGTACGACCATGTCCTCGAGTGTCTTGAGACAGCAACAAAGCTGGATCCAACGAACGATCGCGCGTGGCATGAGTGGGCGCTTATGAACTTTCGAGCGCTTGAGGCCACTGTGAAGGAATCTGGCCAAGGAGATCCGAAACGTTATGCTGTTCGCGCCATCCAGGGTTTCTTCCGATCGATCTCATTCGGCCATACAAGCTACGATGTGACCAAGGATGTTCTGCGGCTGTTGACGCTTTGGTTCACGCAAGGAAATCGTAGCGATGTGCACATGGCTATGGTCGAGGGTTTCCAGGAGGCGTCAGTTGACACGTGGCTGGATGTGATCCCGCAGCTTATTGCGCGTATCGATACGCCGAACCCGAAGACCAGCGAACTGCTGCATGACCTACTCTCTCGAATTGGACAAGCCCATCCTCAGGCTTTGATTTATCCCATTACGGTGGCGTCCAAGGCGCTGAACCCGACGCGGAAGCACGCGGCAGAAGGAATCCTTGCTGCTGTACGTCGACATAGCTCCCAGCTCGTGTACGAAGCTGACATGGTGTCGCGTGAGCTCATTCGCGTGGCTATTCTGTGGAACGAACTGTGGCATGGCGCTCTCGAGGAAGCGTCGAAGCATTTCTTCAACAATCGTGATGTGACTGCTATGATTGCTGAGCTGGCTCCGCTTCACGAGCAGATGGATAAGATCGGCACAGAGGAGTCGCCTACGCTTCGTGAGGTGGCATTCTATCAAGCATTCGCTCGGGATCTGGCGTACGCGAAGGAATGGACGAATGTATACGAACGCACGAAGAGTCTGGACGATCTGAACCAAGCATGGGACATCTATTACAGTGTGTTCTCGAAGATCCGTAAGCAATTGGCAAACCTGTCAACGCTGGAGCTTGGAAACGTCGGTCCGAAGTTACTATCCGTGTACAACTTGACCCTTGCGGTGCCAGGAACATACAAGGCTGGCGCTCCTATTGTCCGTATCCATTCTTTCGACACGAAGGTGACTGTGTTGACATCGAAGCAGCGACCCAGGAAGGTGACGATCAATGGAAGTGACGGTAAGGCCTACCCGTTTCTACTCAAGGGCCATGAAGATTTGCGTCAGGACGAGCGTGTGATGCAGCTTTTTGGTGTGATCAACACGCTGCTGGCCAACGACAGTGACACCAGCAAGCGTAACTTGGCTATCCAGCGTTATTCGGTGCTGCCGCTGTCGCACACGAGTGGTCTTATCGGCTGGGTGCCCAACTGTGACACCTTACATCAGCTTATCCGTGATTACCGTGAGGCGCGTAAGATCCAGCTGAACGTGGAACACCGCCTGATGGTGCAGATGGCTCCAGACTACGACAAGTTACCGCTCATGCAAAAGGTTGAAGCTTTCAAATATGCACTGGGCGAGACGACAGGCCAGGATCTGTACCGAGTCTTGTGGCTGAAGAGTCAAGACTCGGAGGTTTGGCTCGACCGTCGACGGAACTTCACGCGGTCGCTCGCCGTCATGTCAATGGCTGGATACATTCTCGGTCTTGGTGATCGTCACCCGAGTAACCTCATGCTGGACCGTGTGTCTGGTAAACTCGTGCACATTGACTTTGGCGACTGCTTTGAAGTAGCAATGGAGCGCGACAAGTACCCGGAGAAGATCCCGTTCCGACTCACACGTATGCTTACACAGGCAATGGAGGTCAGTGGTATTGAAGGCAACTTTCGCTACACCTGTGAAGCTTCGATGCGTGTGCTTCGTGATAACCGCGACTCGCTGATGGCGGTGCTTGAGGCGTTCGTGTACGATCCGCTCATTAACTGGCGTCTACTTAAGAAGGATGCGGTGCCGTCTCATGCTCAACCTGAGGAAGACGACGGCGCTGGTGCGGGACGTGGCGATGTCACAGATGCCAGCGTTGACAGGAGTTCTGAGCGTGTTGGCAACGAAGACGAGGCCGATGCAGACGGCGAAGGTGACGTCGCGAATGGAGGTCACGTCGATGAAGACAAGCTGGCGGAAGGTAGCATGAAGAGCTCGACGTCGTCGGCTCCCGTGACGCCTCGAAGGCGACGACACTCTTCGTCTGAAGCAGCGATGCTGGGCTACAACATGGACCTGTTGGACCCAGCGATTGCACGCAACTCCATGTCGGAGACACAGCGCGACAACTTCGGCACTTCGCTCGTCGCTGCAGAACACCCTCAGCTTAACGAGAAGGCGTTAAGTGTCATTGATCGTGTTAAGAAGAAACTGGCCGGTCGAGACTTTGATGACGGTAGCAGAGTGCTTACTGTGGACGCTCAAGTGGATCGACTGATCCATCAAGCCACGTCGCACGAGAATCTGTGTCAGCTCTACTACGGTTGGTGTCCATTCTGGTAGATCATGTAGACGAAATTTGGTTAATGGCTACATTTTGTTAATAACTGCAACGATGTTGCTACAGGAGCATTTGGCTCGACTATTTTAGTAAGGACCAAATTATGTGTGTCCTTTTTTGTGATCAGCTTTTGACTGGCAGCGGTCAGAGCAACTTTAGGTCCGATGGCGGCGGCTTTCAAGGGTAAGAAGCGCAAGGCCGCTCCTGGCAGCGCCAGCGGCAACAAGAGTAAGCAGAGCAAGACGCAGAGCAAGGGCCGTGGCTCTAGCAACAAGAAGAACGGCGCTAAGAAACCACAGCAGTCGACGCGCCACGCTGACGCTAATGACGACGAAGACGTGGAGATTGACGAGGATGACGTCGCTTTCTACGAGGACAACACAGAGTTCACGTCGTTTTTGGCCAATATGGACACGAAAGGCTTTAACAAGCTGTACCCGAAGAGCGACAAGAAGGCGGCATTAAAATCTGTTAAGAAACAGAAAGACGAGAAGGACGAGATGCCTCTAGAGAAGCTAGAGGCGCGTCCACGCAAGGCTGCGTGGTCCACAGACACGGAGGAGGTGCTCAAGGACAAGCTACCAGTCAAATTCATGGATGGTAGTGTGCGTACCAATAAACTACTTGCGGAGAAGGAGGAGAAGCCTAAAGTCGAGGAAAAAGAAGAAGATGAAGAAGAACAGGAAGAGAACGATGAAGAATTGGACTCCGACGTGTCTGACTTGGAGTTCGAGGCGATCACAGACGCCGACGCGTCAGCACCTGCAGAGCCCACGCCAGCGTTGTCTCCTGTGGATCTCAAGCGCCAACGTGAGCTTCGTCTGATCACCAAGAAAGTGGAGATTGCGCAGCTCTGTGAGAGCATCTTAGAGAACCCTGAAGAGTCTTTTAAGAAGAACAAGGAGCATCCTCAACAGCTCAGTAAGATCCAGCAGCTGCAGAGCTTGTGTCGCGACCCCGACGCCACTGTACAGCGTCTCAGTCTGATGTCCCAGCTGTCGGTGTATCTCGATATTCTACCGGACTACCGTATCCGTCTTCAGAATAATGATACCAATACAGAAGACAAGGGCAAACAGAACCACGGACGTCCCATGAAGAAGAAGGTGCAGCAGATGCAGGACTACGAGGCGACGTTGCTCAATAACTACCAGAAGTTCCTCAAATACTGCGCCGAGTTGGTCACTACAGGACTCAAGGGCAAACGCTATGAGCAGCTGGCCACGATGACGGCCCGTGAACGCCGTGACGTGCTGCTGGCTGAGACAGGTGTGCGTTGCTTGGCTCAACTACTGGAGAAGAAGTACGCATTCAATTTTCACCTCAATCTGGTCATCGCGCTGGTTCCCATGGCTGATTCCCAGTTTCCAAGCATCCGCGAGCAAGCCTGTGCCTCCTTTGAGAGCGTCTTCAAAAGTGACAAGTCGTGTGCGTGTTCGTACGAGATCGTGCAGCAGATTTCGAGCTACGTCAAGCAGAAGCAGCATCGTGTCCAGCCTTTCATCATTCGTACTCTGCTGGTGATGCCGCTGGAAGTCACCATGGAACAGGGTGAAGCCGCTCGTAAGAAGGCCAAGTCGGACCGCAAGAAGCGTCGTCGTCAGCAGGCAGACGGCGACTCTATCGCTGCTGGTCTCAAGGAGGCCGAGGCTGTTGTGGACCGTGCGGAGCGTGAGAAAACGCAGGCGGATATTCTACACGAGCTGGTGCTCATCTACTTTCGCATCCTGAAACAAGCCACGTACTCGCAGGCTCTCCCGGCTGTGCTAGAAGGTCTGGCCAAGTACTCGTTCCTGATCAATCTGGACATCATGATTGACTTGCTCAAGGTGCTCAAGGTGGTGTTACGTGAAGAGGACGTGCTGCCACTACCTGCGGCGTTGCAAGCTGTACTGACAGGTCTGCGTGCACTGCAAGGACCAGGCGGACAAGAGCTTATGATTGACGATAAGGAGTTTGTCGACATTCTCTATCGTCTCTTACATCGCTTTGCTGAGGGAGAAGCAGCTGCAGACTTGACGTGCTTCCCGACTCTGTTACAGTGTGTTGAAGCAGTGTTCCTACGTCGCAAGGAGATCGTCGTCGAGCGTGTGGCGTCTTTTGTCAAGCGCTTGCTGCTAGTGGCTCAGCATTTGCCTCCGCATCAAGCGCTGGCCATCTTGTCGCTGCTGCGTGCGTTGTTCCATCGCTACTCCAAGTTGCAACAGCTTCTGGAATCTGACGTGGACCGTGTGGCGTCGGGCGAATACCGAGCTGACATTGACGATCCTGACTTCGCGAACCCGTTCTCAAGTGCGTGCTGGGAGTTGGCGCTACTGACACACCATGTGCACCCCAAGCTGGCCAGTTATGCTCTCGGCACTGCTCAGATGGCTCCGACTTTGCCAAATGAACACGCAAGAGCACTCATGGACGCCTTCGACCCGTACGCGGGCGCAACTTTCGCGCTTAAACCGAAAGTTCCAGTGCCGCCGAGCAATCCGCTGCACAAGAAAATCGCCAGTGAGAACAACAAGAACGACCGCAAAAAGAGTCGACAACGTCGTGCACGTCAGTTCTTCGTGCGTGACCCGTTGGCCAACTTGGACGAGCAGTACCGGAAGCAGAACGCGTCGTCTTTTTTCCAGAAATGTTTGGAACTGGATGAACAGCAAACAGATGACAAGCTGCTGGTGTTCAAAAAGTAACTGGACCAAAACACGATAGATGCATAACAACACGAGGAGAAAGAAGAGAGAGACATCAGATATGTTCATGGGACACTGACTTGGGCTCTTTTTAGTAAGGCGAATCGTATCGTCGGTGGGCGTTGGCGTGGGCGTTGTAAGGTGCAGTGGAGACCATACTGAAGGTGTTGCTGTTTTGAGCCTCACTACGTTGCGAATACCCAGCGTTCTGGTCAGCGTACTGGTACATTGGCACAGGCGCTGGAGCAGGAGCAGGAGGCATGGCCTTCTCTTGTCGTGCAGCACGTACATTCTTCCATAATACACCAGTCATAGCGAGAACCATTACAGCTGCGATGATGCAGATGATACTGGCGACCATAATGACGTTGGTCCACTTCTCCACTAGGTCGTAGAAGACGCTACGGCACTCCATGAACGGAGCACTCGCAGACATGTCGTCGGCTGCTGTCGCGTTCAGTAGGAAGCCGCCACACCAGATCTGATTGGCGCTCGTACGAGGACAAGAGGACTCGGTCCAGTCCAGTACTACCGAGTACTCGTCGTATTGAGAGACTAAGTCGCACACGGCGCAGATGTCGCTGATAGCTGCGAGTGTGACGGTAGAGCAGACGCTCGTGAAGTTGGTCGTCGTGTCCGTGAAGTAACCGGCGAGCGATACGTTGAACATCTCGAGAACGGTGTTCACGGACGCGTCTTGGCAGTAATGCGGCACCTGTGCGTAGCAGTAGAGCTTGTTAAAGTTGGTTCCGAGCGACGCCTCGTTGTCTGTGGCGGGATAGTCTTTGCTACCCCAGTCGTCGGCCTTGGAGTTCGCCATGTGCGCTCCCACAGCCACAACGACGAAGAGAATTGCCGTGAGGACCAGCACGATGCCGTAGATGGTCAGAAGCAGCTTCTGCTGCATCAGAGCGCCGAAGCAGCCAAGTGCCGCTAGTGCAATGACCACGGCGCCCAATACTAGCGTTAGGATGAGTGTGGACGTGCCAATCCACTCGTAGTCACCCTGGAAGGCGTCCAGCCAACCGGAAGTCTTGACACGGTGGCTGAAGTACACAAGTAGACAGCCAGCTACCATGAACGCCATGTTAAGTAGCAGCAGAAGCACTTTGGCCACATTGCCCAGACCTCCGACGTAAGCCATGCCGTTTGCACCGCCTCGTTCCTCCATGATGGCGATGCCTCCACCTATTGTTGTTCCTGTCGTGGCGTCTCGACGAGTGCTCGAGACGAGGGGATTACGAGGTAGAGAAGTCGCGAACGAGAGAGGATACTGCTGTTCGCTCGAGCACCTGGCTCCTACAATCGCCCGATACACAAATGAGCGAGAGCAAAATGGCCCGTTGATCTGGTTGCCGATTGGCTCAAAAGCGAGTCTCTGAAGCAGTCGTCAGTGAGCTTTTGTGGCGATGGCCGATGGTAGGGGCTCAGCAGATGGCCAACCACCACTTTGACAAATTGCTCCTGGATAGCAGGAAGTCCATTTCGCAGTTTGAATTACTCACGTTCGTATTTGAAAGCAGCCACCGCGAGATCGCCGCATTCTCCAGGTGAAGATGCAAACTATGGCCAGAATTCGTTATTCAAACTAGTGGCGTCCGCCACTGGCGGTAGAGTAACTTTCATTTAGCAATATATACGACTATAATTCATGGAAGCACTGTGTGTGTGTGTGTTTTTTTTACTTTGCTAAGCCATACTTACATGTATTACACTGTACAGTACAGTAAATGCATACATGTAATGCGCGAGAACGCGTAAAAATTAAGGAAAAACCTACTGCCCAGGTTTTTCGTGCATAGCCGTGCGACTATTGACCAGGTTTAAAGCACATGTTTCGCCAGGTTTCTGGCCAGGTTGTAATTAATAAAGTAAAATACCATGATTTGAAATATTCCCCTACACCTACTAATCTCATGATACGGCACCTGATCGCACGTATCTCTGCAGCGCAGCTTCTCAAAATCCATTCATTTCCAAATTTGAGCCGTGCTGGAGGAATGAAGCGCAAAGCCACTCTGAAGACGAAGCGTCCATCAACGAAGATCCCCCAGCCTCTTTGTCCAGCGTCTCAGAATCGGAAGGTGAGGGGGAGGTGGCCACGCAGGTTGGCGGCAGTGCTAGCGACGAGGAGTTTCCAGCAGACCAGGAGGGCTCTTTTGAAGGGAAGGAGCTGCGTCGCTACCACACAAACTGGGAAAGGTGGAAGAAATACCGCGAATCGTATTGCGAATCCGAAAGTGCGCATCTTGTGGTGCACGAATCGGAGAGTGTCGCCAAACGCAACAAGATGCTGCGTGCTTCTAAGCGCGCCAAGGACGGTGGTTCGATGCGATACTTACCCGAAGACCTTCCCCGTTTTCGCCGGAGATACATTTGTACGCACGGGTCGCGGACCCGCCGCCGTGGATCAGGAAAGAGACAGCAGTTCAAGCTTCGAGGTACTGGATGTCCATTTCGTTTTACTGCGGAGAGTGTGTACAGTATCACAAAGAAAAGTGGATCCTAGAGATCAAAAATCCCATCTACACTCACAACCACAAGCTTTCCCAGGACATTTACGAACATTATCCTCACAATCGCCAAGTTCCGATGTTTGAGCCTCTGGTCGAAGACCTTCGGTTGATGGTACGCGCTGGAGGCAAGGGTCTCCGAATTTTCGAGTACATCCGTGATAACTCCAGGTACAAAGTGACGCAGAGAGATGTGGCGAATCTTCTTACCCGAATTCGCAATGAGCTCCGTGGACAGGCCGATGATGATTTGGCTGCTGCCGAATTTCTTGTCGGCTTCGGCGAGGAAGACAAGAACAACGTGGTAAGTGTCGATGACACGTCAACGGGGGAGACAGGATCAATCTCACTGAGTACAGGCCACATGCGAGCGACGTTTGCTAAGTATCCGGAGCTCTTGCTGGTGGACTGTACGCACAAAACCAATCGGTAAGTTCATAACAGGTTCTACACCAGGTTTACATTCCTTGTTTAAACCAGGCTTCCAACAGGATACGATTCAGGTTTCGTACCAGGTTTCGTACCAGGTTTTAAGCTACGGCTCAAAACAAGATTAAACTGTTCATTCTTTTTTAACACTTGTTTTTATGTTTTAATGATACGACTACCAGCTTTGCAGTCTGACGGTGATGGATGCCTTCGGGTCTGGTCAGTTCGTACAGCACTCCGTTATCGAGACCAACTCGGATTGGCATATGCGGAAGGTCCTCAGCCACTTCAAAACTGCCAATGTCATCTATGAGTCGCTCCGCGTGGTGATGGTTGATAAAGACATGAGAGAGATCAGTGTGATACGGGAGGCATTTCCGGATGCTACTATTCTGCTCTGCCATTTTCACGTCTTGAAGTTTTTGCGAAGTGTGGTTCGTGAGGCTCGCTTCGGACGCTATTCTGCTGACGAGTACGACTGGATGAATCATCTCTTCTCCAATCTGGTAGACGCTCCGTCCAACGAGGAATACTCAAAGAAGTATTCTATTTTGGAGACGTTGTCATGCGCGCATGGGAACACCTCCTTCTGGGAATACTTCTGTGAGAATTGGGTCAAGTCGAAGGACATGTGGACTAGATATCGCCACCAAAGACTGCCGCATTTTCGCAATAATACGAATAATCGCATTGAGTCTAATTTTGGAAAGCTCAAACTCGATCTTGATTCATCGACCGCAATGAAAGAGTGCTTGGAGTCTCTCATGCGTCATCAGCGTCGCGTAGAAAATGAAAGTTTAGCGAGAGAGTCGTTCAAAGGAAGGTGGACGCATAATGGCTCAATTTTGATCGCATTCACTGGACGTCGATTGTGATCAACACTGAGACCAAGAGCATTTTCATTTACGACCCTTTGGGAGATCCAGACTACATTGCGTACCTGAACAAAATCAAAACGCGCCTTTGCAAAGAGAGCAAGTTTGCCTCGTACAAATCCGTTGTTGTGGCATCTCCTACCCAGAACGACGGGAATAGCTGTGGTATTTACGTACTCAACTTTATGTGGAGGCTTCTTGACGACAAGATCAGCAATGTGCAGAAGGACCCTCAGCTGAATAGCTTTAGAGTTCGGATGTTGTCCGCACTACTAAGTCAATAAATGCACTCATTTCATGTCAGATATTGAAGTAGTATTTGAGTCCGAGCTTATCCGTGTTGCCGTCGGTAAAACCTCAAGTACAAAAACCTGTTTTATAACCTGTTGTCAAACCTGCTAGAGATCCCTTGACATATTTGGAATATCGTACTGATATCGCTCTAAGTACAACAACCTGGTGTAAAACCTGTTTGAATACCTGGGATGATGTGGCGTGTCACGTTTACATGCACAAAACTGAGGGGTCTCCGACGTGTCCCAGACACTGTATGTGCACCACACAAGAATTGTAGACCTGCCATCCAATCATTATGATTACAGCAACCTCCGCACTTCAACAAATTGGGTTGTGCAAATCCTTTTATTCCACCGTCTCGTGAGTATGCAGAGCTCTAAACAAAACAAAGAAAGGCCATGATGCGTAAATTACATTTTTTTTTCAATGCGAAATACATTACGACCTGGTTTCAATCCTGCTTCAGGTTGTGTACCAGGTTAAATGCGCACATCTATGCACCAAAAACCTGGGCAGTAACATCGTGCAAAAATTAACTTAAAGTCCAGATTCGCACACAAAAACTGCGTCACCACAAATAAAGCGTGCGACCACATCACACTATGGAGACTGTACACATATAGAATGGATTGCCTGTGCACGCCGCTTTTTTTCTGATTCCTCGCACAGACAGGGGTTGGGATGGTGATTTACAGCCAACCATCGCCGCACTTCAGAATCGAGAAAGGAGATCACCCAGCAAAGACTCGGCCGGCCGACGCGACTTGCAATGCCGAAGCGTATCGCCTGGCAGGATGTGGCGCTCAACGCTACCGGTATCGAAGCTGACAGAGTGCTGACTGCCTTTAAGACCTACGAGGTCTCGAAGAGCAATTTGTACGCATGTACAGTTTGCCTCGACAATGCCCCACACAAGATGAGGTACAGGATGCTTCAGTGCTCGTCAACAGCGTGCAAGGCGGCCATTTCCTCGGGTGTACACGCTTGTTCTTGGCGCGGATAAACCCTCTCATGCCAGGTTAGCGACGCAGTGTCAATATTCGAGGTGGGGGAGCACGCCACAGCGGTAAACTCCCCCAAGAAGAAGAAACTGACGGAGCTGCAGAAGATATACTGCCGTGAGCTCACGGCACAACATCTGCGGCCTGTCCGTATACGCAATGCGATGGCACGGAAGTTTGGAGCGGTGCTTCAGGACTTGCCAAGCTTGGGCACCGTCCAGAACTTCGTCAACTACTACTCCAGGAAGAACTTGTCGCGGAATGACATAGTGGACGATTTGAGGACCTGGATCCACGCGAGGGCGTACACCGGACGAGAGGCCATGTCCCAGACCTTCACATTCGCCTGGAATATGGATGAGCAAGGCAAGCCAGTGGTCGGAGACGGATCGGAAGAACGGCCGTTCGTTATTGGTTTAACGACCAAGACCCTAATGCTTCGGCTAATGCGGCCGCCGGACAACTACATACTTCATGTGGACGCGACGTACAAGTTAAACTATCGCGGATATCCGGTACTAGTGGTCGGCATCTCCGATAGGTCGCGTAGCTTTCATCTGGTGGCGCTGTACACTGTATCAGGTGAAACACAAGAAATTATACAACCGATGCTCATGGCGCTAAGGCGTCTGTACTGCTGGCTCACCGGTCGCGATCTAGTTGTTCGCTACGCGATGGCCGACGCAGACAAGGCCCAGTATAACGCTTTAAACGCCGTTTTTGGAGACAACCCTCAGTTCCAGAGCCTCATGTGCTTCTTTTACGTGATGGAGAAGGTCTACAAGGCGATCAAGCAGTTTCCCTCGTTCGTATCGTCTAATATTACCCACGACCTGTACGACCTACACTTCACCCGAACACATCTAGACTTTACGAGAATGCGGGACGCTCTGCTAAGGAAGTGGATGAACGTCCCAATGTTGGTGGACTTCGCTCAATATATGAGTGGCCAATGGTTGAGTGGCCACTTCAGTGGCTGGCAGTTATACTCAACACCCAGTGGCTTTGCATCAACCAACAACCCGGTCGAAACTTTCAACGCTATCCTGAAACGAGACTACATATTACGTCGGCGTCTAAAAATGGGTGCGCTATTAGCGGAGCTGGCCAATTGTTGCGAGGACCAGTCGGCCAACGAGCGCCCATTTCAAATGGAGGTGCTCCCGTCGGAAACCCTCACACGTCGCGTGCGGGAAT